CTTCATTTGGATTGAGAGAAAATACGCCAGTCAGCAGTCTGCCAGGATCTAAACCATTGAGGTAGAAGTCAAATTTTTGCTTTTCTATTGAGCGTGGTCGGTTTGAGGCAAGTGATATTCTAACATGGTCCACAAGTCTAATTGACCAAACCAGAGTTGGTAATCGTAGAGCAGTGAAAATAGCCAAACAAGAGAGTTTGGATGAATTATGAAAATGCGTTTCATGATTGTCGTGGTAAAAATAATATGTTTCTCAATGGAGTCTCTACTTTCAGGAGATCATATTCAATGTGTGTGTGTGTGTGTGTGTGTGTGTGTAGTGGGGCTGTTATCAGTGGTGTGGGGGGGGGGTGTCTTGTGAGGGAGCTGTTGATGATGCTGGGAGCCTCACCAGACTGATGGACTGCGCTTAGAAACAGGTTGCTAGTCTCTTGGTTTTGGACTTCAGACTCCTGTAGCAAGAGTGTGTGCTGAGGGTGTGTTCTGTCCTTGATGATGTTTAGGGCTCTCCTGGTGACTCTGGTAGAGTAAATGTTCTGTAGTGAGGACAAGGCTGCTGAGATGAACTGTGCAGTTTCACAATCACAAGCTGGAGTGCCTTCCTGTCCTGGGTAGGGATGAGTATCGCTTGGGGTTTTTCCGATACCGGTGCTAAACCGGTACTTTTAAAACGAAAACGGTGCCTAAACGGATACTTTTTTTTTGTTAAAGCACAAAACAATGATTGAAACAAAAAAGAAAGGGTCTTTTTTACTGTAATACTGTAAATATAAGGCTTTGACCTTTTTAACTTCAAACCATGAACAATATATCAACTGTTTACAGTTCACAGTATTGATAATCAAAAGTTCTTTTCATGGGCTTAGTTGGGGGTTTGCTGTCTTGTCTTGATTTAAGAGTTAGGTAAGGAGCAGGCAGACACGAGTCTGACAGGATGGGGAGTCAGTTTATGTCCTGGCTGAGGAATGAAAGGTCTGCGGGTCAACTAGAAGATTTACCAGCCAAAGGGGGGTTAGAGACACACCAACACTATTCAACATACACACTCTGTTTACGATGTTTACGTTAAGTCAGGAGTCTGGACATTGGATGTAACCGGATCTTAGATGCGGGAGGTGGAAGGTCCTCCTCTACGCCAGTTTAGGGCCAATAGAAATCTTTCCTTCTCTGTCTTTCAAGGGTTATAAAACATGATGTTCTTGCTGATGTTAGTTAGTTGTTCTTCCGGCCTGTGTGCTGCCTGAACTGCTCCTGCCTTTGCAAACGCAGCGCTGATACTTGACCTGTGATCTGACAAATAAATTTCCCAGAACGAGAGAAGTCATTCGGCTGAATTTTTGATAACCCCGACCAGGCTCCAAATCTTGAACACGTATTCTTACAGTATAGTTAGTGTTTCCCCTGTGTAAGAACGTGTGTATCAATAAGTTTATTGGAATTTGGGGAATATTAATCATTTCATTTTAGATTCATGCTCACTGTGCTGGAACTAAAGATATGTAACATATAAAGCATTTATGTTGGATTGACGCTCCTTGTTTGTCTCGATTTATTGACGTCATGATTGCAACGGGTGCAACACAGAACAGCTGCATGAGGCACAAGAGCATATTGTTTATCTTCGATCAATATTTATTATTTCTATATTTAGTCAACGCTTTTCTGCGTAAAATAAAGACGAAAAGAACGATCTGCCGTCATGCGCGTAAGAAAATTAAGTCACGTGTCTACAGCTCACGGCTTAATGAGAAACTACACCGAAGGAACGCCGATTAAAGGTTTTGACCTGTGTGCACCTTCTTCCTCCTTGGGTCGATAATCATCTCCTTGGTCTGACTGAATGTGGTCAGTCTGAGAGGATGTTCAGCACCCAGTTGCAGAGGGCAAGTGCCAGACCCAGAATGTTTTACTGAGAGTTTGTGTGAAATGACTGTATTAAAAGCTGAGGTGAAGTCTGTGTAGTCTTTCATAGGTGTCCCTGCCAACAGTATGTTTTGAACGTTAACAAATTATAAGAAATTGTGAAAAAAACCTATTCATTTATTTATTAGATGGCCTATCTGTTTTGAGGAATGCAAAATCAACATTCAGAACAGCTAACTATATTGTAATTTCATCTAAATTAAGATTAAGATTAAGATTAAGATCTGAGCACCTTGGATATCCCCTCCTTTTCCGTATATCTGTTTCCTTCCCCACCCCCACACCCCTCACCTCCTCCTTCCAAAGAGCACATTTGTTCATGGAGTGTATTTTTAAAGTATTATTTTTTGGGTCACAGTGTTTAGAGAGCAAAAAATACACTCATTTTCCTTTTATAGACAAGGAAGACCTGGGAACCCATTGGTTCCCTTCCCCAGAGGCAAATAGCAAGGTGCCTTCGTTTTCTTACTCTGTGTACATGTCCTGTCAAAGCGGTCAAGTGGCCGACTTTCTGCGGGACAGGTTTCAAAGCAAGCTTTCAATAATGCAACCTGAATACAACGAGCTGCAGGGCTTTAAACCAGGCGGCATCATCCTCGCTCAGGCCACCCAGTCTGCGAGGTGAAATATCCAACAAATGCCACTGTAGTAAGCAGACAGTCGCGCCTCTGTCGCTGTTGTGTTTTTGTTTCGTTTTTTACATTCGAATATTCATTTTCACATTTAAATAGTTGTTTTTAACAACTATTTGAATATATATTCGAGTATAGAATATTCGTTGACAGCCCTACTGTAGCGATTGACAGGAGATACTGCATGGGAGCAGCCAGATGCTCCTACAGAGCATACAGCAACACCAGTTAGGACCAAACCATAATCAGCCCTTTCTGCTGAGACGCTTCACTGGGGTGAATTAGCTGAATTTATGTCAAAGAAAAGAAACAAACAGTGAAAAACTGTCACCCATTCATAATCTTGCAGGCCTTCTGAAACCAGTCACCTGGGAAGAGAATTGGTTTAAGTCAATGAGTGTGAACTCTTCCCTGACATCTCTCAAGCTACCGATAGACAAAAGAGGTACAGTCACACTCCAACATTCTTAGAGTTAATTGTCCAGTGTTCGGCAAAAGTGTGCAGAGTTGAAATCACACTGCAAAAAGTTGATTCAACTCTTACAGAGTAAATTGTACGAAAGAGCTGGAGTCATTATTCAGTGTCAAGATCAGATTCATTTGCAACACTTAGTAGAGTTAAATTAACTCTCATATAGGTTTGAAATGTAACTGTACAGTGTCACACTTCTTGGTGTTCGGTTAAACTCTACGTACTGTGGCGCGCGGAGTAGAGAGGGTGAGCCGGGAACCACAAGGTTGGTGGTTCAAACCCTGGCTCCTACATGTCCCATGTCAAAGTGTCCCTGAGCAAGACACCTAACCCCTAATTACTCCGCAGGCTAAAATGTAAAAAACAAGGGTTAAGATTGCAATGTAAGTCGCTTTCGATAAACGTGTCAGCTAAATGACATGTAATGTATTTAACACTGGACAGATTTATTTTTGACACTTATTCCAAGTTAACTTGTTAACACTTCGTTGAGCGTTGATTTAACACTGACAGGATTGGGACAATATAAACACCGGCTTAGAGTTAAAATTGAATCTCACAGAGTCACTTTAACTCTCTGAAATTTGCTGTGCAGAATTCAGGCAAACAGCCAAAGGCGATGGAACCTTCATCCCTGAAAAATGCAACGATACACTGACCATCCAACCACTCTGTACTGATCAAACCAAAAACACCATGACCTACATCTGAGCTTAACGCAACGTACTAAAATAGTTATTTAATCCATAATAGCCATTTAAGGGAGGAAGGAGTAAAAGGGCAGCAGCCCCAACATTTTAGGAAACCTAGAGCCCACGCTGTCACTGCATCCCCAAGATAGGTTGACCAAAGAATGAAGAATTACAGATCACAAAGTCAAATGTGAAAAGTTGCGCTACAGGATAAGCCACACCATCTCAGCTCCATCACCATCTCCAAACAGCTTAACATGAATGCATTCCAGAAAGGCCTGGCTAGGACAAAGGGGCTTAGGTCTAAACTCGGCCACTGATGCAGTGTGCAATGTAACGAGGGGATGCAAGAACACCACATCCCACATTTAAATCACCACCCCAGACCAATGGCTTCAAGAGCGCCTCCCTCCCTCCGTCGCGTGAACTTTGGACCACATTTAGCTCAAATTTTGTGGGACGTTTGACAAACAGCAACGCGCTTTGGGATTTCCAAGGGAACCAAGTTGACAGCCTTGTCTCCTCCACTGCCACTTATTTTTCTTCTCCTTCTCCAGAAACGCCCCCCAGGCTTTGTCTTTCTGCTCGGTCTGTTTGCATTCCTGTTGAGCTCTATTTAAAAGCTTGAACTCCACTGGCTGCAGGAATGCACATCTGCAGAAGAGTCCCTGTCCCGCTGTGTCTTCTGTCTGTCTGTCTCTCTGTTTGTACGGTACAGTATTTGTTTCTAATTGCGGGCTCAGAGCATTAACCTTTGCTGCTTGCCCCCTGGAACTATGATTGTTTTAGTAAATATACATAAGGGTAAAGAGGAGGATGGTGCTAAATGTTATTCATCACATCAACAAGTGCCTTTGGATGACAATGTTAAGCTTCTCATCTGCACACTGACACGTGTGTTAATCTATCCATTTATAATAGCCAAATTCCTTTAGCACTATGCCATTCTTTTGTTTGCTGCTACTAACTAAAACAAAACTAAATTTATTTTGAAGCCCTAAACACAGCTGTTAGCTCAGTATAGCATACAATTAATTCAAAATAATAATGACTCTGTAGTAAGCAGTATTATGAAGCATAAAATAGTAATTACTACCAATTTGTTCGGGGTGCGCGCCAGCAGCGTGACACATCCCCACTGAGAATAACATCGGAGCAGATCCCTGTCCCGCGTAGCGAGGCGGATAAACATTTTACCCCCCCCCCCTCCTCCCCCTCCGACACGCGCAGTCTTACAGTCGCCAATTCCCTCCCCACCCTTTTTAAAACAACCAGACTTACCTTGGAAAATGTCCCCGAGTCAAACAGGCATTATTATTATTATGTTGTCGCCTTCCATAGTTGGGACTTTCGTCGAGTTGTTCTTCGGCTCCCCCGGACGGACTACCGGGGTTGGTATAGAGCAACGAAGTCGGGAAAAGTGGAGGAGGAGGGGAGAGAAGGGGGGCAGACAGAGCTGGCCGCCACTTGGTTGGGGGAGCCGGCTGTCAATCAAAGCGATTTTAGTGGGCGGGTCCCTAACTGTTAGGGGATTAGTGGAGGCTGAGCAACACTGATCCCATGCATGAGGTTGAAGCAAAGAGCCTTGGACTACTGGAGACGTGGGTCGACTGCTGCAAGGTTCATAGTGGTTTCAATAGTGTAGTCTACGTGATACGCAGGTATACGCTTTAACCACCAGGAGAAGTCAAGGATTTCCGTATACCCACTAGCAAAAGCGCGATGAGACATATCGTACGCTGGGAAAGAACTGGGAATGACGAGTATACACCAGATAGCTTCAGGAACCAACTTTATTTTGTATCTCAACACAGTGTAAATCCGCCTCCAGCCTCCTCGTCTGGCTTAGTCTCACTCTCTGTCGCTGGATCTCCACTACTGAAATACAGGGACAAACAATTGTTGATTTCCTGCACCTGAGGCCGATTACGCCTCCACCTGGCACTGTTCCCCGAGCCACTCCCCTCTCCGTCCCCTCTGCAGCTGAGCCAAACCACACCTGCCACCACAGTCATTATTTAAGGCCCTTTGCCCTCGCCTGGGAAATCAAAAAGAAAAACATAACTGTCAATGCAACCTAGTCAGATGTGATAATACATGCATCACTGATGCAGTGTCAAACGACACCGAGGTGTTTAGGCTTCGCAAAGGTTAAATGTGCCGCAGGGGTGTCATATTAGTTTGCATTTACTTCTACTGGAGCTTCCCCCCTAAAAGTCTTCACTTTAGAATGATATTTTCCACAAAGTACATAAACTGCACAATCAACAGCATTTATGTTACTCTAAAAATGTTTCCTCTCATTGGTGTTTATCTGGGTAATCACTTTGACTTTTGACCCGGACCTACTGGAAAAGAACAATTTGAAAACTGTGGCCCTGTGGCATCCGGCCCACCCATCGTTAGGCAAACAACATCAATTATTCCATTGATATATGTGTGTTTGTGTTTCGGGAGGGGGGGGATTTCAAATCAGATGAATCCACCCACTCACTGACCCTGACCCATCAGCCGCTGCTCAGCAACCAGGCCCAGAAGAGGAAGCTGTATATTTTCAGTTTGCATCTATTTGTTTCTTACATTTTTCAGAAAAAGTTCAGTTTACTGTTAGAGCGGCGTCAATTCACAGCTTTTGTAAGTGATGTTATTGGACTGGACTGCTGTTTGTTGTACATCTGCATGGCTCTTTTTCTTTTAATCTACGCATCACCGTGTGAGCAAACATGTCAGTCTGACCTCCCGGTTTCGTCTCTATTGCTATCTATCTAGTGTAGGGATGCACCGATCCACATTTTTACACTTCCGATCCGATCCCGATACCTAAATTTGGATATCGGCCGATACAGATAATATTCCGATACCAGAGCTGTGTTTGAAAAACAGGAAATCCTGTTAACAGAAAAAATTCTGAAAACAAATGTGAAACTAAGGGTTTCAGATTGATTGTCATGTCAATATTTATTTAATTTCATGAATGTCAAAGACTTATTTTTAATAAGTCTTAAAAATTTAGAAATATGAAGTGAATATTTGAAAATATGAATATGAAGTGCAAGTGCACACACACGCATACACACTTGACACAGTCTCACTCACTCGTTCACAAATAACAGCACAAATCAAGTAAACTGACTCTTGTATCATGAACAACGTCAATGTCAAATATCTGAAGAAAAGTGCAATAAAATAACTGTAAACATCTTACACACATACACACTTGACACACAGACTCACTCATTCACACACGCAATCACACTTACTCTCTCTCTCTCTCTCACACACACACACACACAATAAGTTTTAAAACAGTGTGCATCAGAACAGCACTTAAGATGACCTGGAATAAACTAAACACCAGAGACTAACTATTCTTTAAAAGAAAACAAAACTTGAATGTCTCAAAGTTGACTCTGAGGAAGTGATGTTAGTGTTCAACAAATCTTACATCGGCAGGTTCTTCTTGAGGAATATGAGCATTTCTGCTCTCTCTGCAGTTAGACGATTCCTTTTTTCATCCGCGATATTGGATGCCGTGCTAAACAGTCTAGCCTCAGTGCTATCATGCTAGCCTGCTGGTCTGCTAGCTGGCTGCAAACTGCGGAATGGATTCCTGAACGGAGGCGCGGCTCAATGAGACAGTTATGAGACACGCTCAGGAAATCCATTCCCCAGTTTGCAGCCAGCTAGCAGACTAGCAGACTAGCAGGCGGGGATCACTTTTGGAGTCATTTCACCGGACGACGTTAAAGCGCAGACATGGCTCATTGATATCGGAAATCTCCAAAGGTTGTATCGGAAAATCCCATACCCGAATTTCTCTGGTATCGGGACCCGATACCGATACTGGATCGGATCGGCCCCATCCCTAATCTAGTGTCTTTATTGCTGCTTCCTGTGTGAGTGCTGTAGGTTGTTTTCTATAGATTTCATTTAGCGATCTCTATTCATGCAGCTTTTACTTCCACCTTTTGTCACTTATCTGCCACCAAAACCTAAACTGTCTGAGTATTTTAGCTGGTAGACACAGACACTTTTGAGGAGAACAAATTTGCATGTTTGACCACTTGTATAGGGTATTACTGTATTCGATTACTAAAGGTGCACTCGGTCCTCAGGCTCCTCTATGATCAGATTCAACCGTTTCTCAGAGCATGAGACGGCAGTCCTTCAGCCTCATTAACCACCTGTTGCATTATGGGACACGCTGCTGCCCCCCCCCTGCTGGGCAGCCTGACACAGTACACCAGTTTCAATTGAGTGGTCTCTTGCTGCGTTAGCGACCTAAGCTGGGAACTCTTATTTCCTCGTCAGCGTTTCAGCAAAATCTCTTGATAGGTCTGGATCCTGCCATTTCACAGACAAACAAACTATTCATGATCCCACAATGCCCCAATCCCACAATCAGTGGCGGTTCTGGGCACGGGCGAACCGGGCAGCCGCCCGGGGCGGAATTTTTTCATGGCTCATGGGGGGCGGCACGAGCGCGAAGCAGTTTTCTATCATCTATCGTTTCACTGTGTGGGGAATTGGCAGATTGTCGCCCTGCTTGTTGGAGGTGCTGTGCACAGAAGCTGTGTGTGTGGAAAAGGGAGGGGCGCGCGGGGGACAGTTCACCTCTGGGTCACCCAAATAGAACGGTCGGATAAGGGGGGGGAGCAGGGGTCGGGGGATCCACTGTTAAATACGCTAATGTAATTAGTGGGTCACACCCCGACTTTCTTACAAATAACGCACATTTCAATAATGATAAATGCAAGCCTATAGTTCCTGCACATTTTTGTTTTTTATGAAGTGTGTGAAATGGCCAATAAAAATTGGTAATACAAAACGATTATGTGTCACCTGTCACCAAGGTTAATTGGTTTAGTCTCGACTTCTGGTCATGACTGACAGTGTTGGGGGGATGGGAAATCTGTTGCTTGTCGAGTCAGAGGCAAATAAAAACAGAGATGGACAGAAAAAGGTTAAAATCATCAGGTTCCCACTACAGAAAGAAAATAAAAGAAGAGGAGGAGAAACAAGCAAAAGATGGAGGTATGCAAATATGTTGTCTCTCTGTATGATTATACATGTGTCATAAATTAATTGGTGGGATAACTCTTTCGTCTGTTAGCCTTTTTGCTATGTTGCTTAATGCTTATACAACAATAATTCGGTTTTAACTCAACAAACACGAGGTTTGTAATTTCACCATAATATGTGCTTTGATAACAAAACTTTACAAGTTCAGTTATTATTTATTTCCATCATTTGGTTTAATGTTAGGTCCTGTCATTAAACTAACGGAATTCTCAAATCTGTAGGTAGTTTCAAAGACGGAGATTTGCTATTTGCTACAACTGTATTTTGTGACAAAGTATTGTTTAACAGTCAGAACTAAGAGTGTGCCATTCACGGCTGTAACCGAGGAGCTAATGTTTCCTCTCTAAAAGATAGATTTATGTAGCATGTAATGAAAGACATTTAGTGTAAGGGCATGTTTATTTAACCCTACTATATTATGTTCAGGGTCAATTTGGCCCCAGGCTGTTTTAGCTGTATAAACATAATCCTACGGTCTATTGATTTAAATTTCATTGCAAATCAACTACAATTTCAGGGTCACTTTTAAAATATTTGGAGCATCCTCTGCTACTGGTCAGGAGGAGCCACCTACCTCCCCTGCTACACATGACTCTGCTGGAATAGTCTCAGAGCCTCAGGATGAGGACCAGCCATCTACCTCATCAGCTACACAGGCCTCTTCTGGAATGGTCCTTCAGGATGAGCTACCATCAATCTCCTCAGCTACACAAATATCTGATATTGAAGATGAAGACCTCTTTGCCTGTACTTCTCCCCAGCATGAGCCTTCAGGTGAGTTTGTGTGTGTGTGTGTGTGTGTGTGTGTGTGTGTGTGTGTGGGTGGAGGGGGTGTGCCTAGACAACACAACTGGACAACTGCAATTTAATGTAATTTGAATATGTCTGATATAATTTCTGAGTAGGCCTATGTGTACTGACGAAGTCCTAAACAAAGTCTAGTACTGGTTGCTAATATGGTGGATTAGTTTAGACGTGCGCCCGGTGCGCTCGAACACAGCAAAACGGAGAGTTCTCTGATGTTACAATTACCTTGCATGTTTATTTTACATCCAAATATTATAAAACGGCAAAACTTTAACTGATAATACATGTACCCAAAATAACAAACCGCATTGCTCACCACAAAGGCACACACGCACACTGGCACAGTCGAAAACTGTTTGCTTCCCAAATTAGTAACACCTGTGTCTGAGATTCCTGCAGGTTAAATGGCCTACCTGGGCTGATCCGAGGTCAGCTGAGCCACAAAGCACATACAGCCCCCTAGTGGCACAGAGCAAAATTAAATGAAATAATACCAAATGTATATGGCTCCTACACTATGTGTTATGTTCCACTGCTACGTGCTTTGAGTAATGTTTTTGACTGATAGTGCCAATATGCTGTCTGATAGAAATGCATGGAGCTGAACCCCCACTGAGCCTCACTGTTGAGGATGAGCCTCTCTCAACCGACCCTGCTAACTGGCCCTCACATCTGACTGACAGTATTCGGACTGAGCTGGTTCGCAGAGGACCAAGTAAGGTTCCACCTGGCTTTGTTTTCCGTAGAAATAAGAGTGATGGGAGATGTTGCCACCACCAATATTTTATGAAGACATTAGTAAGTGGTGAAAAGATGGCAAGAAGTTGGCTGATTTATTCAATGACGAACAACAGCCTATTTTGCTTCTGCTGCAATTTTTTTTCCAAGAGGAACATTAATTTAAGTGCAGCAGGGATGGCAAATTGGAAACATGCAAGCGATTACCTCACATCCCATGAAAACAGTATTGAACACCTCAATTGCATGAAAGCATGGAAGGAACTGTCTGTCAGGTTACAAAGTGGGAAAACTATTGATAACCTGGAGATGGCACTTCTGGAGGCTGAGAGGGTCAGATGGAGAGAAGTGCTGACACGTCTCACTGCTATTGTGCAGTCACTGGCAGTTCGAAATTTGGCTCTAAGGGGACACACAGAAACATTGTTTACACCATCAAATGGACATTTTCTCAAAGAGGTTGAACTTATGGCCATGTTTGATCCTATTATGAAAGAACACCTTCACCGTGTTGAAAGAGGAACAAGTCAAAACAGCTACCTAGGCCATCATGTGCAGAATGAGCTGATTGAATTGTTGAGCAGCCAAATCATCTCTGCTATAGTGGATGATATCAAGCAGGCAAAGTTTTTTTCTGTGATTCTGGACTGCACCCCAGATATAAGCCACATAGAACAGTTGTCAGTGGTCATTAGAGTAGTGTCACTGATGGAGAAGCCCCATGTCATGGAACATTTTAGGGGATTTTTGGAGGCAGAGGAGTCCACAGGCCAGAACTTGGCATCCATGATCCTGACGAAACTTGAGGACTTGGGAATTCCTTTTCAAGACTGCAGAGGACAGTCATATGACAACGGGGCAAACATGAGGGGCAAAAATAAGGGAGTTCAAGCCAGGCTCTTTGAAAAGAATCCCAGAGCTCTCTTTGTGCCATGCGCCGCGCATACATTGAATTTGGTTGTGTGTGATGCTGCTAAGAGATCTGTTGATGCTATCAGTTACTTTGGTGTCCTGCAAAAGCTATACACATTATTTTCAGGCTCCACCCAAAGATGGGCCATACTGAAGAAGCATGTGGGCATCACTTTAAAGATGTGGGCAGAAACAAGGTGGGAGAGCAAGGTCAAAGGTGTTGAGCCCATGAGGTACCACGGAGCTGCCGTGAGAGAGGCTTTAATTGAGGTGAGAAACCACACCAAAGACCCTGCTGTAAAGGCTGAGGCCCAGTCTTTGTCTGAGGAGGTGGGGTCATACCGCTTCAGTATTTGCACAGTTGTTTGGTATGACATGCTACCTTCAATACAGCATGCCAGCAAACTCATGCAGTCTCCTGATATGCATGTGGACCTGGCTGTGAGTCTTTTGAAGAAGACTGAGCAAGGTCTCCAGAGCTACAGGGCAAGTGGCTTTGTGACTGCACAGATGGCGGCGAAAGACATTTGTGAAGAAATTAATGTGGAGGCTGTTTTAAAACAAAAAAGGCTGAGGTCTACAAGTCTAAGTGCTACTTAGACTTAGAGGTCTAAGTGCTACTCCTCATATGACTCACATGATGAGCCTATCAGCGATGCACTTAAGAAGTTGGAGGTTGGATTCTTCAATGTTGTCGTTGATGCAGCCACATCAGCCATCAAGGAGAGATTTTCCACATTGGAAAATGTGGGAAATAAATTCAGGGTGTTGACACATTTCCCAAGTCTTGCAGATGAAGAGCTGGTAGAGCAATGCGAGGCACCACACTGCACTTAAGGGGGCACTCTGATTTGGACAGTAGAAAGCTTGTGCAGGAAATTAAGAACTTCCCTGACCTGCCATCAAAGACCATGAGCCTCTTTGAGCTAATCACTTTTGTGCATGACAAGGATCTATCAGAGATCTACCCCAACTTTTGGACTGCTCTCAGGATTGCACTTACTCTGCCAGTCACTGTGGCTCAAGCAGAGAGGAGCTTTTCCAAACTGAAGTTGATCAAGTCATACCTTTAGGTCAACCATGTCCCAGAAACGGCTCACTGCCCTTGGTGTCATCAGCATCAATCATTCAATAGGGGAGCAGATTTCAAAGACATTATTGATGATTTTGCATCAAGGAAGGCCAGAAACGTCAGATTTTAGATTTTGTTTGTGTTTTCTGTTCTTAGTGCAATAGTGAAACAGTTCGATTGTATTTAGTGTGTTTCCACATTTGTGTGATGAAGAATTTGTGCTATTTACAATATTTATTCTATATTTTATTTGTATATTGTTCTTTTGTATTGTATATTTTGTGCAAATGTGTGTTTCCTGTTGTAATTGCTCAAAGGTGGTCTCGCCCTGGGCGCCATTAAATGCAGAACCGCCCCTGCCCACAATGTAAAAAGTAGTGACGTGGGTCGACGTGGCGCTGGGGTGAGGGTGGGGAGAGAGTGCGCCGGGAACTGCAAGGTTGGCGGTTTGACCTCCGGCTGCTCCATGTCCCATGTCAAAGTGTCTCTGAGCAAGACACCTATCCCCCAATTGCTCCCCGGGCAAAAATGTAAAAAAGCCATGGGTTAAAAATGCAATGTAAGTCACTTTGGATAAAGGCGTCAGCTAAATGAGGTGTAATGTATGAAATACCCTCAATTTGATTTTTGGATGTTGTCATGGCACGTGACACGTGACAGCATTTAAAGCCCTCACTGTCACAATGAGGGCTTCATGGATGCATCATCATCCAATGAGAATAATGATCTCAACTCTTTCAGAGTACGTAGACAGTGGACGCTCGGCTGCAGTGTGTGGTGTTCATCACGTAACGTTTCGGCTCGGGAAAATCTTCTTGTAAATGATCCCTTGTCCTCAGCATCTATAGCACTCGTACAGGACGTCATCGCGGCTTAAGTCTGTCCCTATAAAACGTTTATCTAACTGATATCGCTCCTTCATCAATGAGGAAGGGAGCTGCCTTTTTTCCGGGGGAGAGATGAAGTAATCCAGCAGCTCAAATGAACCTGCGCCGCAGCAGGTTCAAGTTTTTCAATGTGTTGCTATGGTGATTTAGACAAACCTGCTTCGGGGAACCGAAAAACCTGATCTACGTCATCTCATCCTGAAAAGTATCCGGCTAACTCAGTTAGCCACGTACGAGGAATAGCGCTCTGGAGAAAGAAGGGGAAGATCAAAGCAAATACCAAAAATTATGCTCCCAATTTATTAAAATCGTTTGACCATTTTATGTCATTTCTAATTGTGCTGTCCTCGCTAAAAGTTGTTGAAAGACAAAACATTTTTCTAACTATACAGCCAGCTTGACATATATTTTTCAGCACCGTATTCTCCAAGGAACAGACGATGGTTGTGTTGGCCGGCTTTAATGCAGGAAAATGTGGATTTGTAAAACTGAAAAGAGCACAATACAAAAGGTAAGTGCGTTGTAAGTACAAATGATATCCGTCAGAAACTAAAGGCTGTTAGCATGAGCCATGAGCAGTTCAATACATATAACATATAACAGAAGAAATACACAGCATGTTCTGTTTGTTAGCGCCAAGATTTAATGACCATGCAATAACACACTTAATTTCATCATGACTACATTGCAGTGGAGCTTAACAAATATCAACATAGACATGATAACACAACGGTAAATAGTGGCAAACTTACGGATGAAGCCGATTTTGTGGACTCTAAAGCACAGGATTATAAAGATTGACGGCTAAAATGCTAACTTGGGCTCATGGGCATGATGAACTTCCTGAACACAACAGCAAATAGGAAAACACAACGACATTAACTTCTTAAGGAAAGGGTAGGGCCTTATAGCAGAGGACGGACCCTTCTGATTGGACAGACAGGAAATGATACAGGGCTCTCAAGTGTCACGCATTTCGGCCTCTTGTCAGCACTCCCACCATACATCCAATTCCTCACCCCAAGGAAGGAATCGGACTCCGGTCCCCGAGCCGTGTCGCCTGTAGTTATTTACAACACCTAAATATAATTGAACAACAAAACACCGGTAAACCAATGGTGAAACACTAGTAGGGCACTTTTAAGACACTCGTAAAACATCGCCATCTCTCTGTGACTTTCTGCTGCAGCTCTCTTGCTGCGCTCACTTCCCCCCCTCATCACAGACTCTCCAGCCACGGATTACTTGATTGCCACAATATCTAGAAAGCGGCATTTCTCAACTTTCAGAATCTGATTGTGCAAATAGTTAAGGAGTCACGGGGGACGTGGCGGAGAGGGAGGGGGGGTAAATGACAAAAATGACTATATGAACATCTATTTATTGAACTTTAACAAAACTGCAAAGTGCAAATGTGAAACAAATCTTTTTGTGGCATTTAGTCCAGCGCTTCATTAATGTGTCTTGTCCATATATTGAAGCAATAATGATAACAAATGAAAAATTCCTTTTCATTATCTAAATAATAAATACTTTATATAGCCACATATTAAAATACGAAAATGAAGACACTTTTCAGTCCTCCTCATATATTCAAGCAATAATGATAACAAATACAAAATTCTAAATAATAAATTCTTTATATGGCCACATATTAAAATAATAAAATCAGTAGACACGCCACAGTACGGGATTTCTTCAAGTGCTTCCAGAGCAACTTCGACAGAATGTGGGGCTATCACGGCATTAACAATGGCTTTGGTCTTAGTGCGAGCACTTGAGATTTTTTGAGCTGTCACCGAATCTTGTGTTTGTGTTTGCAGAGTGCACGTGAGCTTCCAAATCGCTGCCACCTTTATTTGCCACTGACACGTAAATGCCTGCTCTGCATGTCATGCACTCACCTTCCGAAGCATCGCGGCCGAGGCGAAAACATGGGTATTTTTTTTTAGTTCGTCCGTAAACTTACATTTACGTTTCGGCATGGCTGCAGATGTCATGTGCTGTAAACAACGCAACTAGTGGAGGCGGCAAGGTGCTCAGTGTTGCCAGATTGGAAATGGTGAAGTATCGTACCAAAGGCTCAAAATTGTCGTATTTGGAGGATAATTATCGTGTATCTGGCAACATTGAGATCGGTCGACCAATGACTGTTCTCTACAGTCAGAGCTCGCTCAAAAAGGTGGAACGTAAGGGAGATACCATTTCCAAAACTTTTAAGGGCGTAATATCTAGTTTGTGAAAAATCCAGAGAAACACAAATATCCGACGAAGCAAAATCCCGGACGTTTTTTCTAGGTCTCATAAAGAGGACATGTCCGGGGAAAAGAGGACGTCTGGTCACCCTAGTTTAACCCCTTTATCGCGTGATAACAAATGTGATGCACCCGCTGTTGAGGGAAATAACGCAGCCGTGCTGTGCGCCACAGTTTGCACAGTGACTCACTGCCAGCTGGAGATCTCCCACAGAAGGCTCTCGTTCGTTTATTCACGCGTGGACGCACTGCGCAGGCAGCCCACAGACCCACATACACACGAACGCAAACACAGCGCAAAAGCCGCCGATGAGGAGGTAGATCCCCGCGTGACGTCATTGTCGGGCATCTGTGGGGGCGTGGTCTCCGGTGGCTCGACGTACCGGGGTTTAAATGGTGAGCAGCCTCCGCCGGTCATTACCGACTCCCTCCTCGCTGGCATCATTACACCGTTTACAGGGTGAAGTCCTTTTGGTTTTCCAATAGCAGAAAGGTAAAGAGTTTCAATCCCTTTACAACATTTTCTATAGCTGTCAATTGCGCACTTCCTTTCAGGATTGATGCAATTTTAAAGGCGTCTTTTTTTGGCGTCACTCATCGCCTCTATGTCTGCTGTTTTTTGTACTTCTTAAAGATGTCTCTCCCGTTGGCGGTGGTGATTTGCCTGTCGGCCATCCAGCTGTGTTTGGGAGATCAGCCCTTGGAGGAATTTGTCACCACAAGTGCGTTTTGATACGAATGAGAAGGGAGAGTACTGGAACGGGGAGTTACAGAGGAATGAGATAAGATATTATGATATACTTTGTGCTCTCTTCGACGTTTTAGCTTGATTTCCCTTTCAAAAAGTGGTAGCCAATTGCCACTTTTAGACAGACGTCAACAACTTTCTTTACTAAAAACAATATAATTAATAAGGAGAACGATATGATATATGTCATAAAGATCGAAACGAAATGAAGTGGCAACCCACCAGTCAGCTCAGCAGCAGCAAGTTATATACATACTAAATTTGGATTTTTACATATATATATATGACTTTTTACCGGTGAACACATCGTTACACTAGTTCAGTCTACTGTGAAGATGAATGCATGGACAAACCTTTCCAAATCTTGTTGAGACATAAATCCTCTAACGCTTAATATACTCTTCAGGTGATAAAAGGTGGCTGTTCAGTGTGAGGCCTGACTTGGTTTGTGGTTTTTAACATCAGTGAATGAAGCAAAGCGCTGACTTTTTGTCTTAGGCCTCAAAAACAAATAATTCTGTTTTATCTGGTTTCTTTCAATAACCTGAGCTGGAAGTATGTAAATGTTGAGCATTAGAGGCTCCAGAATTGAACTTTGTCGAACACCACATGGCATTTTAGTCTGCTTTAATTTGAAATTAGCTACAGACCATGTATTCTTGGTTCCTCAAATAGGATTCAAACCGGTTTAGTGCTGTGCCAAAGAGTCCCACCCTGCGGATGTCATTGAAATCGTTAACAAGGGCAGTTTCACTACTGTCGTGCTGTCCAAAGCCTGACTGGAAGACAGCAAAACAATTATTTAAGGCCAAGAAGTAGTTTATCTGTTGAAAAAAATGCTTTTGGGACTCTTGTGACTACAGAGGGACTAGATGGGGACAACACATGTCCTTTGCTTGGTATGGAGGGAAATGTCAAAGAAGGACTGCCTTGCACTTCTCAGGCCAAAATTATGTTCGCAAAGTCTTTGAAGCATCAAATAAAAGCAATTATTTTAGCTGTGATTGAACTCTTGCATGGGGAGAGTTGAATTATTTCAGCTATGGAGGAATTTTACCTTTAAATTATTTCACACAACTCAAAGAAAATCCACAGTGTGTAACTTGTGCATTCCTGCACTGTAGACAGTGACGCCACCGCTGTCTGGTTAAGCACATTGAGTCAGAAGGCATGGCATAGACCGCAGTCAGAGGAACTCGTCATTGGTCCGATACTTATTTGCTTGGCAGAATGGAGTTTGGTTTGGAACTGTGATGAAAAATAATCCATCAGAGCCATTTGATACCAATTCATCTCATGTGTCCAACATCAGCACATGGTTTCTGTAATTGAAATGGTTTTACTGAACAGACAAACTTTGTGACTGATTCAGATTTTTACTTGGTATATATATAAAATACTCTTTAGGAATAAAATATAAAAAACTCGTATGCATGGTTGATGCCACAATAATGCATCACAGACAATATACTTTAGAATTAGAGCATGCTTTGGTTTAATTTGTTATTTTGTGGCTGTGTTTGTCATTCATGCACATTTGACAAAATAATGTAGTCTGATTTTACATAATATACATTCAAAGAAACAGATTTAAGCCTGATATTGATGATAAATCATTGACCAAAGTAGAACAAAGAGTCCCTAGTGTTCTCCTGATGTCTGGAATCCAACTGCTACTAGTGTTGGGTGTGATCAGACTTCTGAACCCTGACATATCTTGTTGGACTACAATGCATAACAAACGTGAAAGGTGGGGTATGGAATGTCCACTATGTTAAAAGACAGCAAAAACAGTATTTTAACCAATGCTTATTTACTTACTAAAATGTCATCATAACATAGTAATAACACAGTGGGTGTATTTTCATTTCGTTTCTACAGTGATTAATGATTCCCCTTCCCCACGAAAAGCTGCTTTATATTTTTGGCTTGACGATAGAGGCTTGGTTTGGCAGAGTAATGGGAAGGCATTGGCAGTGTTCGAGTACTGGCTAAATCCAGGGTTTAGTTGACTTGCCAGTTCTGGACTGAAACGGCACATTTTCAGGATGAAGAAGCATAAAATCCCCAAAAGGAACACATATAATAATAACGCTGACTGTGTCATTGGAGTCTGTGTACAAGTGTATTTGTATGGGTTGGCACTTTTTTAAGAGTTTGTGTATAATGTGTTCAACACTGTCATTCTCAGCGCTTCAAATGAAGATGCTTGATCAGCGGCCCCAAGCTCAAACTATGACAATCTAAGTTCCCCCTGTTACGTGCACAGCGTCTTTTCGAACTCACGTCTTCCCAGGAAGTTAGCCTAGAGCAACAAAACCAGTTGACCGTGTGACAACTCATGTTACTTACTAGTGACTAACATCTCACGTGACTAACTGACTAACGACCTAGCGACTACAAAGGGGTTACACACTGATGTGATTGAGTTCTTATGGACTGTCGCATGACGACAGAGGGATTAGGGACTCGCGTGACGACAGAGGGACTAGGGACTCGCCTGATGACCAAATGAGTGGCGGTTCACATGACACTTAGGTAAAAGTTTGTTTGTTTGTTTCACATCCACTCCCATTAGCCCTATTTGGAGTTTCTGCAGTACACTATCTCAGTTGCCCCGAGAATCTCATGTGTGGGTGGTTTTACGTGGGAAAGCCTGGTACATTGCCAACGGAAGGTAAAAGGTGTGGATTTCAGTGCAGCGTGAGTTATACAGCACTTAAGATACTGCAGAGATGTGTATATATATATATATTATAAAAACATGAATAAAGGCCCCTTTATTAGTTGTCCCATCAATATCTCTGCAATTGTGTAAAGCCAACTTTCCGTGTTTGAATTTCCTCAGAAAAAGTGCCTCTCCTGGGTGGCTGGTCTGAAAAGAGCCCTGAATCTACTGAGGTTCTGGAGGCGGCTCAATATGCTGTGAAGATGCACAACACTCACTCCAGGAGCAAGAAGATGTTCAAGCTGGTCTCCATCACCAGCGCTCACGCACAGGTTGGATCCCTTTTTCAGAAAACAATAAGAACTTCGGTGCAGCCTCTAACCGATCTGCTCCCTGTCCACTCATTTTATCAGGTGACCAACAGGATCAACTTTAAAATCAATGCTGTCCTGGGAAAAACCAAGTGTCTCAAGAGCGATAACGCTGAACCGAAGAGCTGCAGTCTTGAGAAAAAGGTACATTTTGTTTCATGTGTGAGATCGGGTTATTAAATTGAGTTATGTTAAATTCAGCAATGGTTAGTTTTCATGCAGTATTGAAGAGGAAGTAAAGGTAACTGTAAAGACATCCAGCCATGGCTTCATACTCAGCATTTACATTCATGCTTTCATGTACTACTATTTCATAAGACACTATTTCATAACACCTCGACAGAGTAGTACAGATTGACTTTTGTTGTCAGATTTTTGAAAGTTCCCACTTTCGATGTGATGGTTATTGTCGTTTTCCTCTCCGCAGCAGCTTAAGTGCCAGTTTGAGGCGACGCTCAATCCCCGCAACAATAAACATGAGCTGCAGGCCGCGAAATGCAGGAAAATGTTGAATAAGGATTTAGCTATTTAATCGGCTAACTTTTTTGTAGTGTGGCTATAAAACTGACTCCCTTATTGCATTTTTCTAAAAGAGGTGTAAAATATTTTTCAGTTCTTGATGTGGGTATTGGCACATACATCTTGTAACAATGACACATCACGCCCTTAATAAAAAAAAGTTTGGAAAACGTTTTCACCATGATATAGCGTTTCTTTGTGAATTGTGGCTTGATATATTATGTATTTTTATTTTTTGCTTTTGTATGATTGCTTGGGCAGATTAAAACAATAACAATACAATAATAATAACATGAGCTTAATTTTGCTGAAGGGAGAACATTTCTGGCACAACCTCACCTACTTCCAAAGTGGTCTGAAAAAACGTATTGACACAGCGACAAAAGACCTTTTCGGTACCCTGTCGACACACAAAGGTAAATTCAAACAGCACACAGTGCACTCATCTACATCCAAAAGTTTTCATTGAAGCCCTGTTAACAAGTTTTCTAGTATTTTGGTAAAAGAGACCAAACTTTCTTTTGAGACGGGGCTCACCCAACCAACATCTGTGGATTTCCATAACAACCACACGTCAAATCCCTGCCCAGCCGCATACTCTCCATCTCTTAAAGGAAACCATAGTTTGGGCTGCTTGGCATCCATCACATGGAAACTCTATCCTTTTAATAGAACTACCAGCAACCATTAATTCTCGTTGATTCATGCAAGAGGAAAATTAGACTCAGTGCAGGGTAATAGGAGGCTCTCTGGTGGGCTCACTCCACACCAAACCAATATTTAACTATTAGAACGAATGTGTTTTCCACTTGAAAACATGCCGTCTCAAACAAACACACACACACTCAAGGTAAATGGACTGTACTTCTACATTGCTTCATCACTCATCATCGTCATTATTCACACATTCATACACTAATGACAAGAGCTACCAGAAATGACCTCGGCAGGTTGGCAATAGTCTTCCTGAATTTCAGACGTTCCCTTGTTTGATTTTTTTTTACAGATGAGGTCTGGTTGTGTGGTTTCCCACAACCAAAGGAGGGTATAATTAAGTACAACCAACTGCTGAATCACATTTGTGTTACAATGCACTACATGGGCTGTGAAAGGGTTGAAATCCTATGACAAAAAAACTCCAAACAAATTGCAGACTGGACAATTCAGTTTTAGAAACTTGTCAATCACAAGGTAGCCCCGCCCTGAAACACACCATGCTTTGTGGTCTAGGTGACTCTAAATTCTAGTTTATGCTTCTGCGTTTTCAGAGCGACGCAGACGCAAGAGCCCCTTGCGTGTCCCTTGCGTGCCTTTTCCTCCTTGCGTGCGTCAACCCATTTTTCTTGGCAAGCGACGCAAGCCTCCCGCAGCGCACAAGGCTGCCATTGGTCTGCTAACTACATCCTTTACGGAGTCTCACATTTCCGTTTTCATAGCACAATACCGGCATTATTAAAACGAAGAACCATGAATTGAAACGAGTGCGTCGACACAACGGCGCAGACGCAGAAGTATGCGCCAGCCTTTAAATCGACCATCATTTCCAAAAAGAGCATCATGCTGTATTGAAGAAGACTTGAACTGGAGATTGAGACCATAAACTGTTTACAATGTTTAATGAGGGAATAAAACAAGAGAAAAGTAGCCATTGATAGTAGTCGCCCCTGGTGGATATTAGAGACACTAAGTTAAAAAGCACTTAATAATGTTAAAGGCTTGATGGAAGGATGGAAAGAGAGTTTCTGTCTTCACTATAAAATCCTTAAAATCTCCAAGAATAACAGACATCAAGTATTGATTTATTCATTTAACAATATTTTATATATTTTAGCGCAAAAGGGAAACTGAGTCCCAACAGAATGTAAAGGGAGATGTACACATGCTGTAATGTTTAATTTGTGTATGTCGATATAGATTAATTTGCTGAATTTAATTAACTTCTTAAATATGTGTTGACCAAAGAACAAATAAGATGTCATCCGGGTCCAACAACTTTTATTTATTGACAAACAATACACATTTACAGTTCTTTACAGCATCTTTATTTAACTAACAGATTTTTTTTTAATTCACCTAAATAAGAACGACAAGTGACTCAGTTTGTAAGGCAGATTGGGTTTTCCAAACATCTTTGAAATTGCTGATGAAGTTGAAGATGTTGGACAACAACTTGTCGGCCCTTAAAGTCTTCAGACACTAGTCTCAATGTGAGGGGACATCTTAGAGGTCAGCATGTGCAATAGGAGTCTGTGCTGCTGGTGATACCTGAAAAACACACACACCGTTACGGATGGTCTCTCTCTCTCTCTCACTCACTCACTGAGCGGAAGGAGTGCTGAGTGTACGGAGCGTGAGGTGAATTGTTTGACAGCGTTTTCTATCTGTTTTTTCTCGGTGTGGTTCTGGTGTGTGCTGTAGTGTGAATGCGTGGTGGTGCGTATGTGTGACTTTTCTTTCTTTTTATGTGTTAGTTTGTCCGTGTTTGTAGCCGGTCGGCATGTCGGACCTCACGGGGCTGACGCGGAAGCACGGCGTGAAGCTCGCGCCGCTCCGTGGAGGACTGCGGTCTGGCCGTGGGGGGGTTGGTTGGTCACGGGAGTGTGAAGTCCGCCGCGTGGATGAACCGCGCGTTGGTCATTTTTTTGGACTGCGCGGAGAAGGCACGCGAGGTGGTGGCGAGCGGCGTGGTGGTCCGCGCGGCGCACGTGCCCGTTTTTCCGCTCGCCGTGCCGGCTGTCAGGGTGACGATAGCGAACGTTCCGCCGTTCGTCCCTGACGGAGTGCTGCTCGAGGAGCTGGTCGAACATGGGGAGGTGGTGTCCCCGTTTAAAAAACTCACTCATAAAGTCACCTTTATTGAGGCATGTGGTGTCTCATAGGAGGCCACTCCACATGGTCCTCACCAAACCCTAGGCCCTCAGCCTGGTGATTAAGGTGAGGATCTAGGGGTTTGATTACGCCATGTTCGCCACATCGGACGATGGGAGGTGTTTCCGTTGCGGTGGAGAGGGACACCTGGCGAGGGGTTGTCCGGAGAGGAACCCCTCATCCACTCGCTGTATGTGGGGGAGAGTGTGGGAGGGGGTGAGGCCCAACCGGTCGGTCAGGTGGGGGAGGGGGTGACCGTAGGGACGGGTGAGGGGGTGAGTGTGGCGATGGGTGAGGCCCAACCAGCCGCTGAGGGGGTGAGTGTGGCGATGGGTGATGCCCAATCGGCCGCTGAGGGGGTGAGTGTGGGATTGGGTGAGAGCCAGCCTGTCGGTCAGGTGGGTGAGGGGGCGACTGTGGGGACGGGTGAGGGGGTGAGTGTGGGGACGGGTAAATGGTAAATGGACTGTACTTGTATAGCGCTATTCTAGTCTTCCGACCACTCAAAGCTTTAACACTACATGACATCATTCACCCATTCACACCCATTCATACACTGATGACAGGAGAACCATACACAGTGACACCTGCCCATCAGTAACTAACATTCATACGCTGTAGTCGCAGCTACAGGAGCAATGTTGGGTTAAGTGTCTTGCCCAAGGACACATCGACATGCGGGTTAGCCGGGACTGGGATTGAACCCACAACCCTCTGATTGGAGGACAACCGTGCTCCCCACTCACCCACAGGTGAGGGGGTGAGTGTGGGGACGGGTGAGGGGGTGAGTGTGGCGACGAGTGAGGGCCAGCCGGGCGGGCAGGTGGATGAGGAGGAGAGTGTGGGATTGGGTGAGGGCCAGCCGGTCGGTCAGGTGGGTGAGGGGGTGACTGTGGGGACGGGTGAGGGGGTGAGTGTGGGATTGGGTGAGAGCCAGCCTGTCGGTCAGGTGGGTGAGGGGGCGACTGTGGGGACGGGTGAGAGGGTGAGTGTGGCGACGAGTGAGGGCCAGCCGGGCGGGCAGGTGGATGAGGAGGAGAGTGTGGGATAGGGTGAGGGCCAGTCGGGCGGGCAGGTGGATGAGGAGGAGAGTGTCGGATTGGGTGAGAGCCAGCCGGTCGGTCAAGTGGGTGAGGGGGTGACTGTGGGGACGGGTGAGGGGGTGAGTGTGGGATTGGGTGAGGTCCAGCCGGGCGACCAGGTGGATGAGGGGGAGAGTGTGGGATTGGGTGAGAGCCATCCGGTCGGTCAGGTGGATGAGGGGTCAGAGGGAATGAATGTCAGAGTGGATGGGGGGTTGAATGCAGCCCAGCGGGTAGGTGTGTGTGACAGTGAAAGCGGGGATAGGGGCACTCGGTAGTGGGGGAGCTGTTCAAGGTGGAACCCCGGACAGCGAGGAAGATATGGAAGAGGGGGGGTGGACTTTAAGGCCCCCCGCCTGAAGAAAAAAATCTCTCTCTCTCTCTCTCTCTCTCTCCCTCCCTCCCTCCTGGTAGCTCTGTATCCTGCCTGGAACTACTTCCTTAGTGAGTGGGCCTGGAAGCAATCACCCGATTGGTGCCATGGTGGATAGAAGACACGCACCTTGCTGTGTGTGTGTGTGCGCAGGTGCGCGTGCCATTGTGCTGACTGTAATTAATTCTTATACTGTTACACAGTACGTTTTTAGTTTTGTAAGTGATACGTTTTTTTGATTTATTGTGAAATAAACCTCTTTTGGTTACAAATTCCTTCTTTTATAGTTTATTTTCATTTGTTACTCCCCGGCTCCCCTAGACATCAGTCAAGGGATGTAACACACACACAAACACACAATCACACACCTCCAAATCAATACAAGGTAATTTACTGTAATATAATGGCGCCGTCATCTGCCGCAGAAGGGTTACTACAAGGATTTTGTCCTCCAACACTTTCAGATGAATTTAGTCTTTTTTCGTCCATGACATGCAAGAGGTTTGGGGGGTGTAGTGAAGGGAATGATTGGTTGTTGCTCAAGTAAAAATACGTTTTTGTTTTATAGTGATGCACCAAACCACATTTTAACTTAAATTACTAAAATATTGCCATGTGACTGTACGTATCTATTCTCTTAAAATCCATTCTTTAGAAAATGAGTGACATTAACTGTTGGTTTTGAGGTTTATATACTGACTTGCTCACGACTCTCTGTATCACTCTGTTCTCCTCCTCTCGGAGTTGCAGAAGGACCTGCTCCAGGATAGGAAGCTCCAAGTTCAGATACTGGGCTACCTGAGAGGGGCCGGGGAGGAGGGGAGGGGGGTGGCGGGACAGGGGAGAGCAAACGATTAAAGGTACTTGTATCCGTAATAGTTGTCTGTATTTGCTTACTTGGTAAACTGCTCGCGGACTGAATTATAAATTCATACAGAAAACAATTATCCCAAGCCTTAGGAAAATGTGTTTGTGTGCAAAACTCTTGTTGAGGTCTCAGGACAGAATAGATACATATGCTTTTATTGATTCGGCCTGGGCCCCCACGTTAGCTGGCCGGGAGGCGGGCCAGGACACTCACGTCATTGCTGACTTCCTCTTCGTCCATGTCGATCAAAAAGATCTTCATGATGTCATCGGAGGGTCCCTGAAGTATGCGCTCCCACAGGGGCTGGTCCCTCTCACTGAGCTTCCTCTTTTCTGGATAACACACAGACACAGAACATCATCAGAGTGGTCACTCACTAACCGTGGCATTTTAATTAGTACACCACGAGTCATACCTCCGCTCTGATGGACACAGTACAAGGCAAACTCCTGGGGATCGTTCTCTATCTGCAGGATGAGAATACAAGACAAGTATTAAAGCGTCATTCATGAATCCCTGTCATGGTTTCTAGGTTATTTTATCCAGTTCGAACTAGTTGTATCTGAAATTCACGTCCATCTCATTCTTGTGAACGCAATATTTGAAGATTTGTCCTCCTGGTTAAAAAGAATAGAACTTGGAGGTCAAAGGTCATCGTCGCTCCCTGACCTAACAAAACATATTTCAGATTATAACTCAGGAATATATATATGCTAATCATGCCAATTTCACACAAATGTCAAATGGGATGAACTGACAGATATTAATTAAACTGCAAGATGACTGGTTATACCATACTGCAATATAGTAACATCCATCCATCCTGCACACACGGTCGCTATGAGGGTTCGAGTCTATCCCAGCCAACTTCGGGCAAGAGACGGGGTACACCCTAGACACCAGCCAATCGCAGGGCTAACACAGAGACACACAACCATTCACACTCTCATCCACACACCTACGGGCAATTTAGAGTCCCCAATCAACCTAATCCCCAGTACATGTCTTTGGACTGTGGGAGGAAGCCGGAGTACCCGGAGAGAACCCACGCAGACACGGGGAGAACATGCAGACTCCACACTGAAAGGCCACTGGGCGGAGTGCTGCCCCTAGTAAAATACACATATATATGATATCGATACAGTATCATCTACCATATCATAATCTACCTATCACAGACAAGGTTCAATCCTACCAATAAGAGACAATTTGAGTCAGTTTGAACTTTATAAACTTTATCGATATTTTGGATGGATCCCTGTGACAGTTTGAAGAATGTGCATACAAGCTCACCTTGAACTTGTTCAGCAGCTGTTCGATGACCTGGTTTGTGCTCATCCTGCTGGTGATACGAACTTTAGTTGGAGTGCCGAAAGACGGTGTGAAGATCGACGTCTACGGGAGATGGAGGGAGATTGTGAGCTACAGCGCGGACGTGAGTATAGTAGAGAGAGATGTATAAACATGTATAGATGTAAGACATATGTTGAGCATTAGCCTGTATGGAACACTAAACACACTAAACAAGTTTATTTCAAATAAATACATCAATAAAAAAAACAGTAATAAATAAATTAGGGAATAGATAAATAAGAACTGTAAATGACGAAATATTGTTCAATAATACATATATTTTAGAGACTTTTAATTTGTAAAGAATCTTTTGTTATCTGTTATAAAAAAAGCAACCAAAGCAACAACACAGGAATTAGCTAGCTAGCAGAGGCCGCTGCAGCTCCCTCCGTTTACTGAAGGTCCGTCTCCTAGCTGTAGGGAGTAGGGGGCGCTAGTGAGCAACTTCTTCTCTCGTTAGCGTACTGATGGACAAAAAATTCATCAAATTCAGAGACAGATGCTCTGTTAGTCGCTGTAGCGACTCTGATTCCAGTGAGGAACTGGCTAACACAGCCCGCCTCCCTCCCCGCTGCTGGGAGGCTACCATATTTATGAATTCATTCAAAGTTGACCTGAATGGCCTTCCATAGAAAGCTACCTTATAGTTATAGAAGTGTCCATTGATGGAGAAGCGATGTTGCCTTTCCTTCTCTCTCTGCGCTGCCGACTTCACCGTGCCCCGTCTCCTCTTGACCAATGAGGCGTCGCTCATGCAGCGAAACAGGTTGGACTCCGCCTCCAGCTCGTGGCTCTTTTGCCTCGCAGGACGCAGTGTGGTCGTCTCATAAACCGCCGGGCCTTGACGAGTGCACACCGACACATGGTTAAAATGTCTCATATTCAACACTTAGGGTGGATAACCATCAGTCGTTTAATACAGTTATTTAATAACTAAAGTTACTTTCAAGATAGATTATTAATACAAACATATAATCAACTCATGAAGTATGATGAATTATTTTGGATTACTAGCAAACCAATGAAATCAGCCAGAATTTGAATGCAGCACTTTAAAAACAGTGGTATTGCTGACATTGTTGAGGGTGGCATTATGGGAAATGGGAGGAAAATAAAAGCAACCTGGTAAAGGCTTGGTGACCACTGTGTCCTGCGGTGTCTCGGCCATCTCATCTACCTGGTGAAGGTCATTGCATTCTCCCCACCGGGACATACCCCTGCAGGAAGAGAGATTGATGACTTCAAAACTGAAAGTTTTACATCCTTTAATCTTTCAACATGACAGCGGATCATTGTGCATTGCACAAAAGGACAAATGCATTGAAAACACAATAATCCATTGTTTAATCCATGAACAGCAATGTACAAAAGAGTAGTGAGAATGATCTCTCTCAGAGCCAAATATCACTTTGTCATGTAACATGACTGAAAAGCTGAAAATCAGACCTGTTGTCCTTTAAGACTAAGTAAACTATAATCCCATATTATTTGTGTTTTATTGTTGCTACGGTCCCGCATAGATGACGAAATGTTCCATTGAGAGGATTCAAGGCTGCTTCGATGGAAGGATGAACCACAGAGGGTTTCTCGTACCTCTTGTCCCCCATAGGGCTAACTGGACTGGTGGGGTCGGGGGAGTTCAGAGGAGCGAAGGGGATCATCTGTTTGTCGTCTTGTATTTTCAGCCTGATGGGTCTGCGCACTCCCCAGGAGATGTTCAGGAAGCCCTCAACCACCACCTCTCCATCCCCACCCTGTTACAGAGAGACACACGGACCCCTGCATGGTGTGTAGTTACAGTCATACATTTCATTTGATAAAAGTTATGAGCCAAATAAAAAAAGTAGCTATCTGACAGCTACTGCATTTAGAAAAATAACCACACATTTACTCCCAAAACCCCTCAGAGTTCTTACAAAAGTCTGAAAAGCCTGGAAAGGAAATATGGATTATGTGTCAAGCATTATGGTGTTGCACACAATCCATATTTCCTTCCCAGGCTTTGAGACTGCTTGACACATTATAAATGATCACACACCTGAGAGTAGCCGAGGTGCAGCTGAGTGTGGTCCTTGAGGAAGCAGTTGTATGTGTTCAGCAGGGAGAGAAACTCTGCTCTGAAATGAATTCACAGCAACATCATACAGGGAAATGAAATATTTCATAGTTTATATACCCACTGTAAACAGCATTAGCACACTGTACATTACAGGTCATTTAGCTGACGGTTTTATCCAAAGCGACTTACATTACATTTTTAACCCATGACTTTTTACATTTTCTCCGGGGAGCAATTAGGGGTTAGGTGTCTTGCTCAGGGACACATTACGACATGGGACATGGGGCAGCCAGGGCTCAAACCACCAACCTAGCAGTTCCTGGCGCACCCTCTCTACCCCTGCGCCACATCGACCCCAATCCGATGTGTACCACTGTACACTGTCACATCCGCCTAACCTTTGCACTCTGCTCCATTGCAGCGTGCAGTGTATTAATTAGATATAATGCCACAGGAGGACTCAGATGTACAACTTGGCAGATGAATGTCAAAGTCACAGGTGTTTTTTTACAGATGTGATCGAAGACAGGCTAGGTTTGGTGCACAGAAAAGAATACGAGGGGGCAGGCAGAGACAGAATCCCAAAACATGATCCCAAACTAACTAGATATAGAACAGAGGGACTGTCCCGTTTGAGGAAGAGGAATTTCTTTCATCTATTGAACCATAGATTTTTGTGGGTGTATTTTGCAACAAAAAAATGGATAAAGGAGTAGGGTTAATGAGTAATGTTACTCAGGGTAACAGAAATAACACTATGTGTTAATAACCAATTGTCAAATCAATAATTACACTGGCTCTGCGAATGGTGTAATGTGATCTACTGTAACTTAACATATTCCTTTTAGGTTTTTCGACTGTACATAATCTAAAAAATGCAAATGCTTCTTTTCCACATACAACATATGCTGGAGTACTTTTGAGCACACTCAAAGCCCACCTGGTCAGGCTCCTGCCGTCCCCTGCCTGGACCACTGGGAGAAGAAGAGCTGCTTCGTTCATCTCTGGTCACCGAGGAGAAAGGGAATAAAAACAAATGGACTGATCAATAGCGTCAGGCTGGAGCTCAGAGAGAGACACAAACACCACAGGCTGCCCACTTGTTGCCGGATGCTTCCAAGAGAGCGGCATCACGCGGGACATCAGAGAGCAATGGGAATCCGCATGATATAATAAGTCTACCTTTCTGACATGACAAGTCAGAGCTCTCTTCTCGGTTCTGCTTCTTTGTCCCTGACTTTCTCACTCTTACTGCCTGGGCTTTAAATATCTCTTCCCTCTCTCTCTCTGAAGTTTGTTTTATACTTACCCCTCTCTCTCTCTCTCTCTCTCTCTCTCTCTCTCTCTCGCCGTGCATTCACTCTTTTTTCACTTTCATTTTTTTCTGTCTCCAAGAGCTTTAATAACAGTGCTCCACCCAGTAACCAGTGATGACAGTGTAGAGCCGACCATTTGTTTGTTCTTCGTCCTGTGAGCAGTGATTTCTGGGAGTACACGTGGCGGCTCTTTTTTAGCCAATCTCTCTTCTGTTCCTCGTTGTCTTGGCTTGCTGTGATATGTCCTATTTGTCCCTTTCTTTGACTCTTTCCACGTCTTTCTCTCTCTCTGTGTCTCGGCCTGTTTGCCGGTGGAGGAAATATCTCAGGTATTCAGCAGTTGTCATACCAGCACTCCCTGTTTATTCTGACTGGCAGCTCACTATTGTGCAGAGAGACGATCACTCTAGCGTGTAAGAAGAAAGAAAATGCACAGCACGCAAACTTCCCATTTAAGAAAATCCACATAATGGATGTTCTGAATGTGTTTCAAAATGCACACATCAAATAAAGTAGAAAATGTCCAGATATCCGATGTAATGTTACATGTTATATATTTGGGACTTACATGAGAAATGTTTATAATTATTCATGGCAGTTTTTATTCTAGTTGATAATCCCGGTGAGACATCATTCCTTCTAACTTGAAAGCATTACAGTATAGATAATAAGTTAGAAGGTAATAATGAGAAACGCTGTCAATATTAAATTAAATACAGTTCAAACAAGAAAAAAGACTATACAAGCTACACTTTAGAAACAAAAAAGACACAAGAGACTATGGGAGCTCCAACAGCAAACCACCAAAGTGTAAGTGGGGGGCCTGTCTATTCCGTCCCATCTTTTGGCCCTCTTTGCTGGCTGCTAGGTGCCCCTGTGCCCAGACAACAGTGTCACTAGCAACCAATTGTTTTGTTATGATTTTCTTTTGTTTGCAGAATGAAAACATTCACGACAGCAGTGAAGATATATGCAAGTTAAACTGTTGTAAGCACTTCACCGCTTGTCTTTCGAACCTCAACACACGGGTTGTTAAAAGTTTCCCCCTAGAGCATACATCCAAACTGTGTGTTTTCTTTTGTGAATCACATGCATGTTAAAAAGGAAAGCCAATAGTAAAGGATAACTACTGATACGGTCACCACTCCAAAGTCAATAATATTTTAAAGATCATCCAATTCTTACAATCAGCAAAAATGCGCAAAGCCTGGAAACCAAAGTCTCTCACAAAACAAGATATCTGTATTTTTTAAATTTCATTGTAAGACTGTGAGCCGATATAAAAAAAACATATCTAGCCTGCGGAACATCAAACAAGGTACACCGTTGTGACACATAGTTTTCCTGATGTCAACCTCTGTATGCCACTCCCCCTGTCTTTGCCTCTCCTTCTCCCTTACTCCTTTTTCCCTTTCTACGTAGTGTGCAACATTTCAATAGGTTTCTGTATTCTCTTTTTTTTGTTATACTGATTTACTGGAACACTTTTTTCGTTACTGTGATTCATTGTGACACTATTTCTTTACACTACCTAATACGGTGAACTATCAGCTTGGTGGTATTCAAGGAATAAAACCACTTATTTACTCTATATAAATCTTTGTTGTTCTTAGCAACGGTAGCACGATTTGGAGTTGACGCTCACTCAAACAAGAAAATAAAAAATGATCCAACATGCATTCGCTCCTACCTGCCCTGGTGTTTTTTAATCTCCAAACAAATGAAGCTGGTTCACTCCATGTTTGATAAATATATGTGTGTGCGTTTGTAGGTCCAGAGTACAGTACATGTGGTAGGTGACACACACTGCAGCAACTGGTTAATTATTGTTGGACACGTTGAGACAGTGTTGAGAGGGAGGGGCTGATTGTAACCAGATAGGACTTGCCCGCCTTGTGTGTGTGAGAGAGAAAGAAAAAGAGAGAGCGTGTGGTTTGCTGTTAGCCAACCTTTAAGGATGGACCCCATCAACAACTGAATCCCAATCAGCTTTATTGTCTTAGTATGTTTTACTTAAGCAATAAGGTACGAGAGGCAGTACTTTATCGTCCAATAATGTAACAGTTCAGGGGTGTTGTTAGGCCCGACGCACAGCGGAGCGGAAAAGTTTTCATAACTGTGTTCAAATAAGAAGTGCAAGTCCTTTATATTGTTGCGACTCTTGCACGCGTTCTTCTTAGGGTTTTATTATGAACCAGGAAAACAGGCTACTGTGGGCCACAGCCTACGCCGAAAAACAGATCAACCGTTTTCATCACAAGAACTCACAAGTTACTCCAACCCACACCAAACATCACAACAACACATAGGCTGCACTAAGATGATTGACTTCACATTGTGAGCCCTTCACTGACCTTATAAACTCAGTAAATGTAAAACCTCGCTCACAGAACATGTCAATCTATTACAATATTTTTAGACTTTGATGCGGGCCATTTAAAAACGGATGGCTGGCATCAGTTGGCCCGCGGGCCGTAGTTTGGACACCTAACCCACCCTGAGCTTGTCTTTGGACTTGGAAGAAGCCGGAGTGCACAAAGACAACACACAGTGTCACGGTTAGTCCAAGAACAGGACAGAGGAAAGACTCACGCACAGGCTTTAAAAAACAAAAATTCTTTATTCAAAGTAGTGTGGGAAACACAGCAACACACCTGTACCCCAGACTCACTAACAATCCCACAAGGAGACGAGGGACACACCTTGTGTGTACCTGTGGGTTAACCCTAAAGGCTGGCGCGCGTCTGCGTCTTTACGCAGTCGTGTCGACGCACTCGTTTCAATTCATGGTTCAAAAAGGCTTGCCCGTGTTGCAGAGCAATTCACCGCCAGAACAATAGGTGGAGTAATGTTTTTTGTCGAATACGACCTAGAGAGTCACGTCTTTGTGTGTGGAAGTTGGTTGGTTTATTTATTTATCATAGACTTTATTGCCCCGTGCATCGCCACTGCTGCTTTTCCTTGCGGACACATTTGTCCCGTATTTTCCTCCACAATTTTGTACATCCCTCGACCGGCAAACCGACGTTTAGGTCTATTTATAAGTAGAGGTTAAAAGCTAGAGGAGACAGGTCCTCCATAAAGTAGAAATATATATAACATAAAAGATAAAAGTTAAAATTCTTAAAAATACCTTCAAAAGTGTTTGAGACCTGAAGGCCTGCAGCCCAAAAACTTCACGAGCCTTGCAACCCATATTAGTTCTGTCCATTTATACCTCTTTACTCAGCTCTTCTTTAACCTCCTGCTCCATATATAGTTGACAAATTATCGTCATCAATTTGTTTGAATCATTTCAACAGACTTTGAGGATAAAATGAGGTTAAAACGTTAACATAAAAAGTCCATTAAGCTTAAGATAGCATATCCTATTTGGTTTAATACCAAGGTTCTGGTTTGTATGGTTATGCATAAAAATATTTATTATGTTTTTTTTTAAGGCTTTTGCTTCTCGGTCCTGATGAAGTAGAGGTGCTGGGTAGCATGACAGTTCGTCTTGTTTTTTTTTATTTGTTTAAATATATATACATATATAAGTAAATTAACCGTTGGGTGAATCTAGTATTTAACCAACACAATAGAGAGATCCGTTTTGGATGTGGTGTGTCTCATTTTTGGTGGATACCTCAACAATATTCTTTGTGACACAGTACAGTTTATAGAAGAAAAGTATGTGTAAGCCAAAATTGTGATTAACTGCAAGCTGAAGAATGAGATGAATCAAGATACAGTAATTGAGGTGAAATACAGGAATGTAATCACAATGCATGTTTAATATAACTAATTCTACAGTGTAAATACACATACTGCCTACTGGTAGAGATGAATATAGTCCATGCTCTGCTTACTAAAGCAACAGCTCAATGTGGAGAAAAAATATTTATCAGTGCCAACAGGAACAAGTCACACACAAAAGACTTTGATTGAACTATACTACCAACTCTATTAGATTAGATTCTAATTTAAGAGCACTTCATATCTGTGTCCGCAGAGGGAGTCAGAGTATCAGGACACAAGTGTACCAGAAGGATACTGCTGAGTCAGTGGCCCCAAGCGGTTTGAGACAGTTATGCACCTCTAATCCTACACCCTGTAGGACACAACCCCCCCATTGGTGGGCAGTGTCACCAACCAAGTAGCTGCTAACATTACACACTGCATCGGGTATGTGTGTGTGTTGTGTGTGTGTCCCCTGGTGGAACATGAAGGGAGATGATTATACAGCATGATAGGGATTGAGAGGAAGGACTTCAAAGACAAAGATTGGGGAAGAAATATAATTATCTTGTCACATGACAAAAGAAAGCTGCATGACATTGCAACCTCACACAACAACCTTCTTCATTCCTCCCAACACAATAACATGTGTAGCCGTGCCTGCTGTGGGAGCACAATAGTCGACTTCATCCAAAGCAGCACGGAACAGGAGCAAATTAAATGAAATGCCATTCCTTTCCCAAAATAAAACAGGACATACAGGCGACAGGTGGACACAAAGGCTGCCTCCTGGACTCTGTGTGAGTGTGTGTGTGTGTGTGTGTGTGTCAACAGTGAATACATAGTTGGAAAATGCCTGGGTGCACGGATGTTCTTTACACAAATCAATAGTGTTGTTTATCTGCATGTACTATTGCCCAAAATGGACTAAATAAGATTCAGACATACTGTGTATGTATAGTATCCTGTTGGTACCTTATGATTTATACGTATTAAAACTTATTTTATTTGGTAACCTCCCTTTAAGGGCTGATGTGACTGCAGTGTGTTTTACCCCTTTGTGTCCCATAGGAGGTAAAGTTATGTCTTACAGATCATAGAAATTTAGACCAGTTTGAATTAAAAAAGAAATGCGCCTATGTGACAAAAGAACACCTGCACATGAATGAAAAGTGGACCAATATCACTATCATTATCATTATACTAGTAATCACTGTGTCTGAGTAAAGCTCTGCAGCAGCACAGCCCTGGAGCCTTGAGCAAAGCTACCAAACATGAGTGACTGTAAATGAGGACAGCGAGCAGCTGCCACTGTCCATCACACACGCACACACACACACACACACACACACACACACACACACACACACACACACACACACACACACACACACACACACAAACAGGATCTGGTCCTCGTTGGACACAGAAGTTTGTCCCTGGCTGAGACTCACGTAGTTGCACACAGCAAAGGAACACACCAAGTGAGCCAACGGGACCATCTCCTTCACCCGCCATGGGAATCTAAAGCGCTTCCTCCCACTCGTTCTGTACAGGCTGCCTGTCACAGGAGCCAGGATGAAGGTCGTGGTCGTTCTGCTGCTTATGGTCACCTCGGTTTACGGGATACAGAGAGGTAAGCGAGGTTTTCATTTGCTTTAGCATTGGTTCTCATTGTGTAGGGGTACCTTTCTTAGAGGTGTAGAATGCTGAATACAAAAAATGAGTCAAAAACAGAGTGACAGAAATCCCTTATAATATGTTTACATGTAAAGGCAACAATGGATGAAGATGCTAAAGAGCATTCTGACATCAGTAGTCCTGCATCCTGCATGCAGGGGCAAGGAGAAAGTGTTTATAGGTCCACACAGATCCCCTAACGTTGCCACTAGAATAATGCTACTTTTTGTCTTCTTTTCTTGTTTGACCACAATGATAGAATTAAGTTGACGAAGCCTCTGTCTGGTCTGCGTAGTAGAATCCGATGGGATTGTTGTTTACAATCTGATTAACTACACAATGGAAAACAACCAAGAAAAACTGCAAATCAAAGCCAACAAGGGATTTTACAAGTTATGGGCTTTCGTTCCGGGAAAGAGAAAGGGTTGGAAGGGATTTAAGGAATACAGGAGTAAATGCAATTAAAGTTTGAAAGAGAAAGATTTGTTCAGTGATCATTGCAGGAAAAGGTGTATATGAATGACATTTGCAGCAGAAAAATTAACAGGAGCCATTGGATGAATAGAAAATGATAACCAAGAAAAAATAGCTAAGATGCACATTTACTTGTTGACTAAAATGTTTACATTCACATTCCTTTTACCTACCCATACATGAAAATGCCAACTTAGAAATTACAAATTTTTTAATGTTGTATAATGCACACACACAACAGTCAAAATGCAGTAAAGTAAGTGATAATGAGAGGCACTGATGTGCCTCTCAGTGGAGGCCTGATGTTAACTGCACTGTGTCACTTCTTGTGTCCAAACAGCATTTAGTACGAAACTCCCTAGATTTGAATCCAGTAAGACTCTCGTTTGTTCTAAAGAATTAGTGATGTTGCTAAACATGGACCGCAGAAAAACCATCGCCCTTCAGATGATGTCCATCTGTTCAGACATAGTATTGAGGAACATACTATGCGTGGAGAACAAAAACAAAGAAAAGACCCACTCCAAAAACAGTCTTATTTTAGCATGGTAACACTCTCATTGTGCAATGCACAGCTGAGGCTGATTAGTCTATTTATAGTTTTGCCATCCCTCTTCCTCACTACATCATGATGTTCATTTAGTAGACCATGGCCACTAGTGAAAACATAATTATGAGTATTGTATTTAGTTTACAATAGTAGATCCCACCGGAATGCTACACACTGGCCCTTTAACAAAGCAGCCACAAGTGAGATATTTCACCTGACTTAACCTGGGCTAAGAATGGCATTCTATGCTATAAAACCCTGCCATGCCAAGGATTTACAGTAGCACTCTCACCATCACTCAGCCAAACAGCAGCAGTGCAATGTCAGTGCAAAAATATGGTTTCACAAGAGGAAAAAAAGTAATCCATCTCTTCATTCTCCTCTCTTATCTTTTCCATTGCCTTTTTTCTTTTTCTGATCTTACCTTCTTTTCTCTCCTGTTTCCTATTATCCCTCTGCCTCTCAGTAGTTCAGACAAAGTTCAAGGCAAGCCTGATGTCTCTGATCTGAATCCACGTATAAACAGTTGCCCCCATCCCTTCTACTCCCCTTCTACTCCCTTCTACTCCCCTTCTCTCACTGTATTCAGTCAGAGCAAGAAGGAGCCGTTTATAAACAGTTGTCTTTTCATCTTCTCTTAATCCTCCAAAAATGATCCTCCTCCAACTCTCTATTTGATCAACTCTTATCGGTCACATCTTAAGTCTGGATTCAGCTTGTTTATATTCTGAAAAAGAACAGGTGTTTTTAATGGCTTGTATACCGAGTGTTTATACAGAGCTAGTAATTTACTTTTAACAACGACCATCTATGGAAACGAAATAGCAGAGAACAGTCTGTGTGTGATTGAAGCCTATCATTGGGCCTTGAATTAAAATGTCCTTGAATTCTGCTCGAATAAAAAATAGGGGATGGAAAATTAGTTAAACTATATGTCTTACCCTCTTCTGCTCCCCTCGGGGGGGCAAAGCTGCAAAAAAAACCCTGATCTGGTGCCTTTAGTCATAGCTGGACTCCGAGTGACAGAAACAGATGACTCTAGCTTGGAAAGGAATGCCAAGAATGTCAAATAGTTTTGTTGTAATGCAGCTGGGATTCAGCTCAACGGAACTTACGGTTTTGTAAGAAAAGCTCTCATGTTTTCTTTGCATTGTACATACTTTGCACATAGCGCCTCGCATCATCACCTTATTAGAGACATTGGATGTTCTGCTGGATCACAACGCCACTTTCATCTGTGAGGTGGAGTCCCGGCCTCGTGCCGACATCAGTTGGACCAAGAATAACTACCCAATCATGTAAGTTGGACTTCTTTCACCTACAGCAGTAGGTGTCTAATCTTGCAGGTTCATGAAGCACTGAACCTGTTTAGACTGTTTGTAGACTGTTTAGTCTGGCCTCATATTTGGGTCAAAATGTTCTTTCCCACTCAGGTATGTCACATGATTCTTCCAAAAAGAAACATCCCATTTGGTGGGTAATACTGTGATTCAGTGTTTTCAGTTCTGGAAGTTGGAATTACTTTAGAGGCCACTTAGATTGCCGCAAGATGCCAAACATGTCAGTACGAGATTGCTATTACTAGGCTAACCTTACTAGACTAACTTCAAAATGGGGAAACAGCCACCACATTTAGCTATCCCAAAGATATGGTTATTTCAAAGTTATGCCATCTGAGAAGATTTACAGAAGTATAGTTTAACTCCTCAAATGTCATTTCAACTACAAGGCCAACACAAGAACAACAATACGTATTGCATCTCTAAATCATTACTACCTATCACAAAACTAAAGTTAAATGAGACAAAGTCAGAATAATTTATCTAAATCATCAAAATCAATGATCCCTAAATTTGCCCAAATTTTTGGAAAAATATTTTATTTTGAAAAATGGATTCTCTCTTAAATAAATTCGCTCATCCCTCTTGATACACTTCCCAAGCTCCAGCCAAGCGTTTTTTTGCCATGCGCGACTATTACCCCCCCCCCCTTCAGTTATTTCGTTGTTATCCGCCACACCTTCAAGGCCGGTCCGCAAAATATTGTCTAATATGAAACTGGTCTGTGAGACAAAATAGGGTCGGGACCCCTGATCTAAATCATGTCAATATTGTGGACAAGCTCTAGGAGAAAAATGATAAAATATTTGTAACACGAGGAGCTAATTTTAAGGCTTAACATATGCCATAAGATGGCTATTTTTGACTATCACAATGCAAATGTTTGTGCAGGTAATTGAACAAGTATGAAGTCTAATTAACACCAGGTGCAAATATTGCAACTACGCACTGATTGTTCTGTTAATGCTTTATGTTCTGCATTCATCTAACAAGCATATTTCTAAAGCCGAGGCAATCACAAAGTATGGTGACTCGTCCATCGATCTCTCCTGCTCACAGTCACTCTTCGGTGCTTCACACACTCCTTTGTCCCACCAGGTACTATGACCCCAGGTACATCACCAGAGAGCATGGACAGATGCTGAGCATCCCTCATGTGAGAGAGACGGACAATGGAGAGTACTGCTGCCTCGCCACCAACGGCATCGGAGAGGCTGCCAAGAGCTGCGGGGCTCTGCAGCTCAAGATGAGTATGTCTGCCGTCTTCCTCGTGTTATGTCTACCCAATCCAGACTTTGTGAAATGAAGTAGAACAATTGCATCCTGTCTATTTCGTCCGATTCGTCCTTTTTTTCAGAGCCACAGATCAAACGCCATCCTACCAATGTTACCCTCTTGGTAGAATCCAAAGCGGTGCTGCCTTGCGTTACCCTCGGCAACCCCAAACCAGATGTCACCTGGCTCAAAGATGACGAGCTCATCAAAGTATGCACATTTTCACTTAAACAGCAGAAGCAACAGGAGGTTTCCTGTTACACCTCTTATAGATTTAGCTACATTGTAGCCAATGTTTATGTCCATCTGACCAATATTCAAAGTGAGTGTGGGCTGATTGCATCAAGCAATGAAGAGCACCTCTTTTATTGGCTTGGTTTCTATTTTCCAATGGAAATGAAGACCAACATAACGTTATAAAGATATTGTTGAATCTATTCTGCCTTTTAGTGTAAAAAATACAAATGGTGTCATCTCTGGCAGGTCAGTGACCGTGTTACCATCCTTGACTACGGTGCATTGAAGATCCATCACATACAGAAGGAGGATGCAGGACAGTATCGCTGTGTGGCCAGAAATAGCTTTGGTTTGGCTTTTTCAAAACCTGTCACCATAGAGATCCAGGGTATGTATTTGAATGCCGGTTCACTTTCTGTTCTTAGTACAGCATGTACTTTTTAAAAAAAGAAAAAAAAAAGAAATACAATACTACATTTTTGTCTGTGTTTTGTTGTGCGTGTGTTCAGCTCCAGCGCGAATCCTGCGGGTTCCTAAGGAGAAGCGGGTAGCATATGGTAGCCTGATTTCTTTGGAGTGTAACGCAACGGGTAATCCCATCCCCACCATCACCTGGCTGGAAAATGGGAACACAGTGAGTGTTGAGCTTCAGTGTGTGTTATGAAAGCAAGGGTTTGGTGGTTTTGACCAAATATTTTAATATCCCTGATGGATGAAATACGTCCAATGAATATACCCCAAGATAGTTAAACTCACTGAATTCTTCCAAAGTAGAAACCATTGTTTATGGTAGTAGCTCCATCCAATCATAAATCCATCTGTGTCCACCGTCTTTATACAAATGCTTGTGATCCCACTGTTGCCTCCTTCAGTGTGGTTGAGTCTGTCTCAGATGTCAGCTCACACAGCCAACATCAGAGAAATGTCATCGTGCAGCTGACATTTTGACACATTGTCAGCCGCAGAGCCGTGGATAATAGGAAAGCTCTGACGTTGCTATAGTCAGGAGAGTCAACAGGCTTTACTGTCTGATGAAGATACGGACGTTGAGTTTTTATTTGTGAAATCTCCACATACCGATGGATTGACATCAACACTGTAGCTTTGTCCACTTTTGTCAAATTAGTAGCAAACAGCTGGCTGCTAAATCCAGCTCAAGACTCAAGCAGAGGCGGGGCTAAAGCGCACCAACTTAATTCATCGGCGACCATCTTGGTTTTATGCAACCAAAATACGGTGTATAGAATGGCCAATGACATCCATAGCACTTATCCTAACACACTCGGACCAGCTCACTATTTCCCACATCTAATGCAGGTTTAAATTATTACTGTTACATTAGCCTAAGCGTGGCGGAAGGATATTTGGCATTATTACATACAGAAGTAAACAAAGTTACCGTGAGCTGACCCTTTGGTTTGAGGACTACCTTTGGAATCTTGTTCATGGTGCCGTCGTCATTAAGTTTTTTTTTTTTGCCGACGATTCCCAAAGCAAATTGATCTGCCTCTTGTCTGTCAGAAGCGGCTGCACATGCGTGGGGACCTTTCTATAATTCTCACAATAGCAAAGTAATCCGGCGGGCCGCACTGGGCCACCCAGCGGGCCGGATTACTACAATATTGACTGACATCGGTGCTCTTGTTTTTAGCTTGTTTTGTAGTTACGGGTATATGTGCCGCCTCTATAAACCTCTTTAATCCTGGATATTAAACTACATGTGATCACTTTGAAAAACACTAAACATAATGTCTGGGTATTTAATAGTCTTAGGTGCAAGCTACAATGTGATTACTGGCCCATTATGCTTGTAAATAATATGTGTGTGTGTGTGTGTGATGATTAAAATGACTGCAAGCTGCTTTTCTGGTAGGTCAATTTCAGCAAGGCTGGATCGAGCTCGTCCCAAAAACAGAGAGGTGACAGACACAGCTTCAAATATAGACGTGTCACACATCAGCACCCACCCATGCACACAAACACACACTCAGTACGCACCCAAGTATAATTGATGTATGTGGGAGTTATGTGTCAATGCAGAAACTGAAAACAACAAAGGCATTTAATCTGCTTTCATCCCCCCGGTGTGAATTGCAGGGAATTTTTTTATTTGTCACATAGCTCACTATGCGTTCTATCGACTCAACACCCATGAAACTGTAATACAATCAGCGCATTGACACTTTATTCAAATTATTTAGTGTTCATTTTCATTTCTGGGCTGGATATTTGAAAAAACTCTCACCTCATTGTATGTAAAATTCTGCAGCTTCAAATATAAGTTGCAACAAAAACACTGGTCCTGTACAAATGTTTGGCCACACGTTTTGTTCCTGGACCTATGGTCCATGGTGAGTCTTCCTCATGCTGGAAGGAAGATGATGATGCTGTCGCTGTGTGCACTGGGCAACAGGAATGTAGTTCAATTTACGAGCAAGCTACTGCAAAATCTGCTTAAACTGCACGCAGGTCAGTACTCCGCAACACTCCCTCTAATGCTAGGTCGTCGTGGCGCAGGGGTAGAGAGGGTGCGCTGGGAACCGCAAGGTTGGTGATTCGAGTCCTGGCTGCCCCATGTCCCATGTTGAAGTGTCCCTGAGCAAGACACCTAACCCCTAATTGCTCCCCGGATAAAATGTAAAAAGTCATGGGTTAAAAATGTAATGTAAGTCGCTTTGGATAAAACCGTCAGCTAAATGACCTGTAATGTAATGCAATACTAATGCTAATGGTGAACGTTTCAAAGAGTTATTTGTCCCGGCATATTGACACCCTGCTATCATTCATCAAATTGTTTTTGGGGTTTTCTTTTCCAGATTTTGGGTGCATCAGTGGAAGAGACGTTGACAGGCGAAGTGATCCTGTCCGTTCTTAAAGTAACAGTGAACAAGCCGGCCCTATACACATGTCTGGCCTCGAACAGACACAGCACCGGAGCAAACACTGCAAAGGCAACCGCCAAAATCATCGTCGCAGGTTGGGACCCCTTTTCTTCTCCTACACTGACTGTGTGTGTGTGTGAGATGTCTTTAGTTGCGTTAGCTGTTACTTATATTGTGTTAAGTGTGGCTTCAGCTGTTTGTCCCCCGCCACCCCTCTCCACTTCCACCCACCTACCCATTTGGCTCAACTTCACATCCCGCGATCACTGTCCCCTCAACACACACACACACACACACACACACACACACACACACACACACACACACAAGCACACAAACATGCGCGCACACACACACACACACACAAGCACATCCCTTCCTCCGTGATCAAACCACTGTCCTCCCACCTGGTTGCCCCATACATAGCTTTGAGCGGGTGAGAGAAGCACCATGGTTGGTTTTCTTACCCTGTTTATTTTGATCTTTTTTCCTCCTCTCTTCTTCCCTGTCCTCCTGCTTGTGTTTCTTCAACCGGTATTTTCTGGATATTGCCATTTCCCCGTAGAGTGGAGGTAAGCAAAATGGTTGATTTTTCTATGAACGTTTTTCTTGACCATTTGTGTCATGGCTTTCTTCCAATTTCTTTCTACCGCCTCATTGCATGACCACATGTTTATGGTATTGTCACTCTGTTTTATTTGGTATTTCTCTGCTTCTTGTGACCCTCGGTTTGATACACGTCCTCCGTTGTTAAAAATACTATAAAAATGTGTCCAAAAATAGTGCATACAGTGGTGTAGAACCTTTTCAGTCAGTCAAAAATAAATTCTAATAAAAGGAAAACAAACAAGCAGATCGCCCTGATTCTAGTGGTATGTGTTTTATTTCTCTCTGACAAAGCCTGCCGAAGTTATCGCGAAATAACCACCAAACCATCGATAAAAAAATATATATAAATTTCTTCAAGCAGACATGGAAATTGAAGCACAGCCGGTCTAATCATGCTCATAACTAGGCATGGTTAGCCTTGTTTTCAACATCAGAGCCCTGGCTACAATAAGCCATAAACTACTTTAAAATACTCAACTTTAGTGGGTGGGGTAACAGTGAGAACATATTAAATGCATATTTGTTGACTTGACTGACCAAAAGTGCCATATTTTTATGATAATTTATGCAACATTTTTTTCATTCATTAAACAACACGAGCAGAACGCGCTGATTACGGTAATATAAGTATCATTTCGTTAAGACAAACCATGCCAAACTTCCAATACAAAACCCATCAAGCCATGGAAGCGAAAAAATCATAAATGTTGTTGTTTTGAAACTTTACATGTGAACTGTCCACAAACTGGGCTATCGCGTAAATGTGTTTTCATCCTACGGTGTAGCTCTATGGGATTCATAGGGCTGGTTTATGACATTTTTTGAGGCAAATCTCAAACTTTTTTGTGTGTAATATTGATATAACGTTTTCAAGAGTAATATATTGACTGATTGTCACACAGTATATCACTCACAGGAGTTCCACTTTATCCCAACAAAAAGAAATTGTACAAATACACAAAGTATTTCCAGAGTTATTACACTTTTTATCATGGGTGTGCCATTTATATTTATATTTATATATTTATTTATATATTATAAATATCTTTGTTGATTTTGTGCAGAAAATAAATATTATTAGAAATAAGCCGTTTAAGAGTTTGTTCTATGAATCTAATTTGCACTCATTTGACCACATAATACAATTTCTACACCGTATGAAGACTTTGCTCATCCACCCCTATCCCTCACAGTTTTTCTTTCTGATTTTGTAAAATTCCCACCTACAGAAATGAGAAATTGGTGCAGATAGCACTTTGACATACGGTGACTTATGTAAGTGTCCATTACCAAGACACTTTTCCACTTCCAGTACTCACACTTAAAGGAATAGCAAGTAGTCGTGAAAAATCATTTGGGTAACACTACAATACTCAATAGAAATGAACTAACTGCGCCATAGTTCAGAGAATCTTTCACCTAATGCTTTTCCCCCAAGATGTTTTCTTCCATTCCAGTCCATGCATGGTCACGTGACTTTTACCCAGATGTGGTTTAGATACATTGATTTTGTCCAGTTTTGTAGACTTGTTGACAGAACACATGCAGCAACCGTCTTCTGCGTGGGTCTTCAATCTGAAAATGTCTTCTTCCCCGCAGACTCTACAAGGGCGTCACAGGCTACTGCAGTGCGTACCGCGGAGACGAGTGCCGCACCGTCCTGCAGGACGACCTCCTAGTCTTCTTTAACTCCTCCCTCTCAGACCCCGAGGACATGCAGGAGTACCTGGTCCAGAGCTGGTGGACGGAGCTGGAGGGCCTCAGCACGTTGTGCAGCCCGGCGGCGCGCGCGTTGCTCTGCCACGCCTCCTTCCCCGACTGCAACCCCTCGGGGTCAGGACCGGCTCCCAAACCCGTCTGCCGGTAATGAATTGGTCTCCTTCTGTCCGTTTGTACAACAATCAATGGATCACTGAATGAACGAAGTTGATACTTCCTCTATTTGTTTTGGCTCCTTCAACTCAACAGAGAACACTGCCTGGCAGTGAAGGAGCTGTACTGCTACAAGGAGTGGTTGGTGCTCGAGGGCAGCAGTTCTGTTCAATCTGGCTTCTTCAGCTCGGCTTCCACCTCACTCCTCCCCAATTGTCAGGCCCTACCGAGCCTTCACGCAGATTCTGACGCCTGCACACATGTCCCTTTTGTAGGTAAGCCTTACTGAGACAGCTTTGAGTTCCCCCACTCAAAGCAAATAATCCTAAAAATGAAGAACTCTCTACTCTACTGAGGAGCACGTTGGAAAAGGAGTTACAAATAAGAGTAAATAATAAATTAAAATAAATAAAAAAATTGAACTAAATTGATTTGCCACAAGCTGCTAGTGTTGTGTGATAATTAATTACCAAACCACTTGAGCAAAAACACTCTTGCAAAAGAAACGTTGCGTCAAAAGAGTGTTGCGTCAAAGAAAAGCAGGAGTTGGCCGGCTGCAGTTAACCAAAGTAAAGCCTGGCATACTAAACTACAGGTCGCTGATACTTATGAGGTCATTAATAGGGTCTGACCCAGCCCAGCCAAAATACACAAATCCAGCGTTGTGTGTGCGATGCCAGGTGAGGTGTAATAGTGGGTATGTTTGCGCTGTAATATAATTGGAACTGTACTGAAAATGACTTTCAAATTGCGGGACAGCTGTACTTCTACTCAAAATTATTTGTTTTTCTTATTTGCTCTTTTCTGCATTTCAGACATCAAGAAAGATCAAATCACAAGTAAGTGGAGAAGCATTTAAAGTGGATCCCAAACCTCAATCAAACTCATGCAGTCATTAGGTAGTGTTAATTCTGAAGGAATTCTGTTTGGTGTCAACAGCAGCGTGCTTCAGTGAAAAGGGCCGTTTCTACCAAGGCACCGCCAATGTGACCAGGTCCGGGGTGCCATGTCAGTCATGGAGCCAACAGGTATGTGGCTTATGGATGTGGATATGTGTGCATGTGTGAACCTCAAATTCTGATGAGGTCTTAAACCTGCACTCTCCGCACTGACCACCAGGTGTCTATTGTGTCTTGGACATATGTCTGTAAAAAAATAAATCTACTTCCCACCTGATTTATTCCCTCAGTAACCATTGTAAAATGGGTTTATGGTTTATATTGCTAGTTCCAAGTCTGGTTTAATACAGCAGATGGTAATTTAGTAAATTATTGTCCGTTCAAATAGTCCGTTCATAAGGCTGAGTATACGAAGTATAGGGCGGGTTTACTATGATTGCCAGGTTGCTTTCACTGTCAAAGCGTATATGCGTATAAAGGAAAATGTACAACGATTTTTTTTGTATAAACATAACTGAGTTGTCTCCTGTGCAGACGTCACTGTATTTTGAAAAGATTACATTGATGTAAGAATCAGAAACTGACACGTGTTGCTTATTTTTGTAGGAAAAGTCAACTTTTTGTCACGTCACATATGATTGGTTGCATAAGGATGCGTTGAAATATTCTATCATCTGCTTATGGAAATGTAGTAGTGTCTCTGAGTCACATGTTTAAAGCCCAGACTCTGTGATACTCTGTGGATATTTCTGATCTCTAACCACAGACAGAAAAACATATAAAAGCACAAAACACACACAAACACACACTCCCTGTGGCCCAAAATCCTCTTAATGTTTTTACGGCTTTGCTCTGCGAGAGTCTTTGAGTGTGAGCTCCTACTAGTCTCCTGTGCAGTGTATGTGTGTGTGTGTGTGTGTGCACCAGGCCAGCAGAAAGAGGGGAGGGGCTCATCATGTCACATCCTGCCTCTGGAAGCAATTAGTTTTCACACGCATATGCTGCACAGACCCCATTGCTAACACACACTCACTCTAACATGGTTCACTGGCTCACAGACAGACTTAAAGGTGATACTGAAAGAAAGTTTTCCCATTAATGGGGTGGCAGATTTTAATGTATTTTCTGTCCACTGTCTCTTTTTTCTCTCCACTTCCAGTTTGCATATATTTATATATATTACTATGTAAAATGAGAGCTTGGAGCCCTAAAATGTCAGCCAAAGCAGCTCTTTAAACCAAATACTAACAGCAACTGGGAACATTTTCTATGTAACTAAGGGGAGCTTCATGGTACCAATGTGTCCACACCATTTGCTCACACGTTTTACTTTTTCAACGTATGAAAACAGAAGCAAAACTATTTTAGATACCAAAATGACATGACAACTCACAGCAACAACGCCTGGACAGCTTGTCACGATAACACAGCAAAAGTTTTTCAAGAGGTCGCTCAACAAAAAGTAGTGTGGTGAACAGAGCTCAAAGGAAAGCTGACACTTCTTAGCCCTCAACATGTTCTGAGTCAACTGGAGACAAGCCCAAGCACAAAAAAAGTTATATTTTAAATGATTATGGATACGACTTAATGGATAGGTCATGGCTGCTTGTGGAAGATAGATGGTATGGTAGGATGGTTACTGAACTGGGAATTTCCAATATCATGTGTGGTTTGGCTCATCCCTGGTACATGAAGCACAAGGGTTACGCATTTCATTTGTAAATGTGTTTGTTGGTTTTGATTGAGAGAGTTGAACTTCATATTGATATGATATAATACGATAATAATTATAATAATACGATATTTTGGTGTACATATTTGTATGTAATATTGTGGCTTATAGTGCCAAACAAAATGTTGTTTGAATTGGCCCAGTTGAAAAGATTTGGGACACTGGTCTGGATTAAAGTCAGGCTCTAACTTTATTTGAGAAAATGACATCAGCTAACAATTGGAACATGTTGTACTTCCAGGAACACACTGTTATTATTTGACACGAGGTGCCGGCCACACATAAATCAGAAGGGTGGATGGGACACATAACAAGGGACAGTTTTGATTAAGTTCCTGTATGATTACAGGATATAGCATGATTGGGGTATTGTCGGGTCCCACATTTCTGACGGACTCAGAGCAGATTGCCAAAATGCCGTACCCTGAAACTAAAGGGACTGCTCTGGAATTAATTCCACCAACTTTTGATTTGAAAAGTTTCTCTCTTACAATACACATCTCTAATTCACAGCTGAAGCTCAATGTAGCTTTTACCTGCCAAACTGGTCCATCAGAGGAAGAGCAGCTGTTACTAATACACGTTGAGTGTTGTTTTCTTCTCTAAACACTGATCAGTCAGCGGTGGCTCTTTCTAAAGTCATCATTTACCTTCTTCGCATCACAGAGCAGATGTTGTTAAGCAAATATTTTTTGTAGTGAAAGATATTCTTCACATGTGAGTCCGTTAGGAAATGAGCCAGAAGATATCATGTTTCCCCTTGAAGTAAAATCACATGGTCAGCACGTACTCGACACATATGGATGATGTCACGGAGAAATAGTCATGGAGAAATACTACAGCAAAAGTTTGATTCAGTCTGACTGTGGGGAAACGCCACTGATAAATAAATGATTATACATTATATATTTGATAGATGAAAAGATAAGACATGGCACTTGAGTCCCAGTTAGGTGGATGTTCATCAACAGTGTTTACTCACTATAACGTCATACCAACAAGGTGATTTGTTCGGCTTTTTTTCCCATAACTTTTCTACACATATCCTATTTAGTATTTTGTTGTAAATGTGATACTATTTGATGACCATAGCTCTGTTTGAGTCCTATGACACTTTTGTTGACACTGTTGTTTTTAAGCAAGTTTTGGTTATCACCAGAAAAGCAACATGATTTATCATTTTTATATTCTTTTGGTTCTTCTTAAAAGCAACAGCCCTAGTAGCCTAGCGCGTTATCAATAAAGTGCCACTAGTCCTCTTCACGTGGGAGGTTGGACGGTTTGACACTGAAGAACCCCATCTCCTACAAAGAGTAAATGTTGGTACATTTTAACTATTGACACAAATGTTCCTTTATATATCAAATGTTTTAAGTGAACCAAGTACTTTTTGCACATACAAACAATTGTTTTCTTTGCCAGCCTTTAGTGCCCCAATCAGAAATGTGTATTTGGATGACAAAATGACACCTCTCGTCATATGGATTTGCCATTTCTAACATTCCTGGCACTAATAGTCAACCATGTGAGCATTTTGCTTTACTCAGTGCTTGTTGAAACGAGCCCTTTCAGCTCATAACTTCATATCTTTTGGCATAGGTTAGACCACTGGTATTTTTATGACTAAGGCGTATGGCACCCAAAGACACCAGATGTTCAGTATTTGAGTTGGTAATCTAATGTTTCAGAAACAACTATACAACCCCTAAAGTATCCTACATATTATACCTTCTGCAGACAGGAACCTTAATGTGGGACCTAATCAGGGCCATGAAAAATGTATTAAGTTATTTGTCACCAGACAGCGTCACCCCCGCCCCTGGTTTTCTACCCAGTGCAGCAAAGGCAAGGAAAGCCTCAGGAGAAACCACAGAGGACTAGTGAAAAGGCTGCGGGTTTGTTTTGTTTGCATTGCACCTGGAATCCTTTTCCATCTGGTGTTATCTGAAAGGACGCAAAGGACTCATTGTTCCCTTCATAGGTAGTTCTACAGTATGCTGCGTAGTACATATGGCTTTGTCTGAATAGAGCTACTGTCCCACTCTGTAGGTTCCCCACGAGCACCGCCTATCCGTCGACGTTATTCCAGAGTTGAAGAACTCAGCCAACTACTGTCGAAACCCTGGAGGAATCAGCGACAAGCCGTGGTGTTACACCTCCAATCCCAACATCCGCTGGGAGTACTGCGCTGTGCCCCGGTGTGGGGAGACCAGCATTGAACCAGGTTTGGTTTTTTGCCGTCTTCTGTTCTGTTTAAATTTTTGGCTTTCTCATCAGAAGACTCACCCATCTAACAGAATTCAATTCAATTCAATTCATTTTATTTTGTATAGCCCAAAATCGCAAATTACAAATTTGCCTCAGAGGGGTTTACAGTCTGTACACATACAACATCCTCTGTCCCGAAACCCACCATCGGCACAGGAAAAACTCTCCAAAAAATGAAAAAACCCTTACAAGAGGGAAAAAAAGGGAAGAAACCTTAGGGAGAACGTCAGAGGAGGGATCCCACTCTCGGGATGGACAGACTACAATGGATGCCATGTGTACAGAATGAACAATGTATAATACATGCAATTCCTATGACAGAAATGATTCAAGTAATTGTGAGTAGTAAGCCAGGCGCACAGCAGGACCACTGCAGGGGCAACCACCATCAGATAGAACCACCATCCACAGAAGCCTGTGGGGAGGGAGAGCACAGAGACTTTAGGAGAGGGTAATGTTGGTTTACGAGTACAGTAATATGATTAATATCTAAAATAATAATGATGATGATGATGGCAGCAGCAGGCGTCAGCAGGGCCACGGCAGGTGTCAGGACCAGGGTACAGAAGGAACTACGATCTACGGAGACCTGCTAGGGGAGAAAGCACAAAAAAACTCCCAGAAAGAAGCAGAATTAGTCATGTGCATTAATAAAACGTGAATTATGGTAGAACGAGAGCGTGAGAGAGGAGCTCGGTGTGTCCTAAGAAGTCCCCCGGCAGTCTAAGCCTATAGCAGCTTAACAAAGGGCTGGTCCGGGCTAACCTGAGCCAGCCCTAACTATAGGCAGAATCAAAGAGGAAAGAATGTATACAGTTCTATTCCTCCGGTTAGCAGATAATATGCAACTGTAGATTAGCTCACCAGCCGATGATCGATTAGTCCTTTACAACCAAACGAATAGGTTTCAATAGCCCATTCACAGCGTAGCACCTTCATTTGAACTTTCTCTGTTTTTTCAGTAATGAAGCCTGAGTTGCCGGGCCCTCGTCAGACCACTCGTCTGCCTCCCATGGCCAAACCTTCGTCTCCCGCTTACTCCATGTCCGTCATTGTCATCCTCCTGACTGTACTTGCAGCTGCAGTTTTCATTTTCATCTGTATCCTTGCCTGCCACAGACGGAGGAAGCAGTGGAGAAACCGAAAGAGGTGAGAAAAAGACGAGATGCGCAGTCTTTTTTATCTGAGTCTCCACCCTTTCTGCCCCTCACTCCACACTCTTTCCCGCCGCAGAGCCATGGAGACCCCGACGATGAGCGCTCTTCCATCAGAGCTCTTGCTGGATCGACTCCACCCCAACCCCATGTACCAGCGAGTTCCCCTGCTGTTGAATTCCAAGCTGATGGCCCTTGAATATCCACGGAATAATATACAATATGTGAGGGATATTGGAGAAGGAGCCTTTGGACGGGTTTTCCAAGCAAGGTGAGGAGAGGAGGAAAGGGGAAGTAGATCTACGCAGCTATACATCAACCCAATAGGCGATTACAAGGAATGAAGAAGAATGGAGGTAGAAAATTCTGGAAGATAAAAATTATGGAGGCTGTACAATAAGGAATATTTTATCAGCAATATTGCTTGGACTAGTATTTATCATCTTAATCAGTGTCACAGGCCAGAAGAGGTAAGGATATTACTTAGGAAGTGTTGCTGTGCAAAGGCTAACATAGCCAGTAAACATGGCTCACTAGAAAACTGAGTTTTTCTAGTGAGGTACCTTTGGTTGGTGGGTTGTGTTATTGTACAGTTGTATGGCTCTGGGGATGAATGATTTATACAGTCTATCAGTCCTACATGGCAGCGAGCGCCGTCTCCTGCTGATCAGACTCTTCTGTCGACTGATCGTGCTGTGGAGAGGATGGTTTTCATTGTCCATGATGGTGAGCAGTTTGGTGAGGGTCCTTTTGTCGGCGACTAAGGTGACTGAGGTACTCCAGTTCAGCACCAACCACAGAGCCAGCCTTCTTCACCAGCCTATCCAGTCGCCCTGCATCCTTCTTCTTAGCGCTTCCTCCCCAGCACACCACTGCGTAGAAGAGGACGCTGGCGACGACAGACTGGTAAAACATCTGGAGGAGTTTGCTGTAAACGTTAAATAACCGCCGCCTCCTCAGAAAGTACAGCCGGCTCTGCCCTTTCTTGTAGTAGCTTATTGTCCAGGATCACCCCAAGGTACTTGTGTATGTGCCTACTACCTCCACATTGACCCCCTCAATGGGAACTGGTAGCATGGTGGGCTTAGACCTGCGGAAATCCACCACCATTTTCTTGGTCTTAGCAGTGTTCAGTTGTAAGTGGTTGTGCTTGCACCATTCCACGAAGTCCTCCACCAGGCTCACATACACCCCTCCCTGGCCATCCCTGATACACCCCCCAATTGCAGTGTCGTCTGAAAACTTCTGCATGTGGCAAGACTCTGTATTGTAACAGAAGTCAGAAGTGTACAGGGTGAACAGAGCAGGAGAGAGCACAGTTCCCTGTGGTGCTCCGGTGCTGCAGACCACAGTGTCAGACAGGCAGTCCTTCAGTCTGAAAAACTGTGGCCGCCCTGTCAGGTAGTTGGTAATCCATGATACGAGGCGATCGTCCACGCCCATTTGCATGAGCTTGTCTAACAGTCTGAGGGGTTGGATGGTGTTAAAAGCACTGGAGAAATCAAAGAACATGATTCTCACAGCACTTTCTCTCTTGTCCAGGTGAGTATGCATCCCTATGCAGCAGGGATGTGATCGCATCGTCCACTTCCACCCTCTCCTGGCATGCGAACTGTAGTGGGTCCCATGCGTGTCGTACCTGAGGTCTGAGTATGTGCAGTAGTAGAGACTAAGGTCAAAGATGTACTGGAGCGGTGCACCCAGTTCAGCTGCGCACGTCTTAAGCAGTCTAGGACTAACTTTATCTGGGCCTGCAGCTTTCCTGGAATTAAGTTTCCTCAGCTCAGCCCTCACCTGGTCTGCTGTGATGGTAGGGGGGAGGGGCGGGTGGGAAGGGAGGGGTGAGGTGACTCTTTGTTCCCTGAAGTGTCTACAGTCGGTGGCTGATGGCTGGAGATAGGGGTCGGAGATGCCTTTGACGGTGGGGGGTGATGTGGGGAGGTGAGGGAGGGGGTGGAGGTGCAAGATGGCCATGCACTACGGAGGCAGCTTCTGTAGCGGGGTGGGCGGACATAGTCAAATCTGTTGTAGAACTGATTTACATTACATTACATGTCATTTAGCGAACGCTTTTATCCAAAGCGACGTACAATAAGTGCATTCAACCATAGGGTACAAACTCAGGAGAACAAGAAACAAGAAAGTGCAATTTCCTCAAATAAGCCAATCTACAATTTGCTATAGATGAGTGACGTTACAAGTACAATTTAAGTGCTACAATTTGTTTGCATGGTGCGTGAGCACCGATGTTTTGAACTGGATGCGTGCAGCCACCGGTAGCCAGTGAAGAGAGCGGAGGAGTAGAGTAGTGTGGGAGAATTTCGGAAGGTTGAAGACCAGTCGAGCTGCTGCATTCTGAATGAGCTGCAGAGGTCGAATGGCAGTGGCAGGGAGGCCAGCCAGGAGGGAGTTGCAGTAGTCCAGGCGGGAGATGACAAGAGCCTGAATCAGTACCTGCGCTGCCTTCTGAGTGAGAAGGGGACGTATTCTCCTGATGTTGTAGAGCGTGTATCTACAGGATCGCGTTGTCGCGGTGATGTTGGCAGTCAGGGAGATTTGGCTGTCGAGTGTGACGCCGAGGTTCTTAGCGGTCAAAGTGGGCGTTAGTACGGAGTTTCCAAAGTTGACTGTCAGGTCCTGGGTAAGCGAATCTTTTCCGGGAAAGAGAAGTAGTTCAGTCTTGTCGAGGTTGATTTTCAGATGGTGGGCGGACATCGACTGAGAGATGTCAGTTAGACAGGCAGAGATCCGAGCCGCCACCTGGGTGTCCGAGTGAGGAAAGGAGAGAATTAGTTGGGTGTCATAGCCATATGTGTGGTAAGAGAAGCCATGCGAGCGAATGACAGCGCCAAGAGAGTTGGTGTAAAGCGAGAACAGGAGGGGACCCAGCGCGGAACCCTGAGGAACTCGAGTAGTAAGAGGACAAGGTTCCGATACAGATCCTCGCCAGGTTGGCCGTCGAGGGAGGACGAGAGAAGGGAGAGAGCAGATCCTGTGACGCGAAGTTCCTGAAGGGAGGAAATAATGATCTGGTGGTTGGACGGTTTCAAATTGCAGCAAACAGGTCCAGGAAGGATGAGGACAGAGGATAGACAGGCGGCTCTAAAAAGTGTGGAGTTGCTCTGTCTGGATGTTGAAGTCACCCAGGAGGATGAGCGGAGGTCCAATTTCAGGGAAATTAGACAGGAGAATGTCCAGTTCTTCCAAGAAATGACCTAAGGAGCCTGGCGGACGGTCAACGATGGTTAATTGTACCGGGTGAGTGACTGTTACAGCATGGAATTCAAAGGACAATGGGGTGGATGGTGGTAGAGGGTAGAGAGAAAAGCTCCATTTGGGTGAAATTAGTAGACCTGTGCCACCACCCCTACCAGTGGGCCTGGGAGTGTGGCTGAAGGAGAAGGCGGAGGAGAGAGCGGCTGGGGTGGATGTGTTCTCAGGTGTGATCCAGGTCTCGGTGAGAGCGAGGAAATCGAGTGACTGCTGGATAGCGAAGCCGGAGATGAAGTCAGCCTTGCGAGTCACTGACTGGCAGTTCCAGAGACCTCCTGTGACGAGGTGCTTGACATGTGTGGAGCGGGTGGGATAGGTGAGAGAGGAGAGGTCATGATAGAGAGCAGATCTAGCCCGAGGCCTGTAGTATCTGCGGGAAGAGATTCGAACAAGTACGGGTAGAGGGGTCAAACACATTATTAAAAATAGCAGAAGAAGGCACCGCATTCAGCCGCCCCGAAGACTCCACGAAAGACTCCCTGGTCTTTGTCCTGCTCGTCTTCATGCTGCGAGGATGAGCAAACGCAAAACGATTTAATTGGTTGGCCCTGTCCAGGGGCCTCATTTATAAACGTTGTGTACGCACAAAAGAAGGCGCACGCCGCTCTCTACGCAATAATTGGTATTTATAAAAAGCAAACTTGACGGAAAAATGTGCAGTCCTTCACGCAAGCTCAAACCCATGCGTACGCACAAAAACGGGTGAAATGAGAACCGTCGGCAAATGCAAGAAACACGCAAACGTGTGTGAAAGTGTGTAAAACTAGACTGTCGTGTAAAAGAAATGCCAATACTGCCTCTCATAAATAACACGAACACCCGTTTGATCAATCTGCAGCGTAAAACAAACAGAAATACAAATTAACACATTTTCAAAAAGAAAAGTGAAATATGTTCTGCAATAATATTCACATGTTATGCAATTGATTGAACACAGCTGTTGCTTGTGAGATGCAATAAAATGGACGGTAATAAAATGCCATGATGCCATCACAATGCGTAATGACGCAAGATAGCTGATCTTGCGCTCTTAGAAGACGTGACAAATGGAAGGATTCGCGCTGTAGTGCAGCGCACCATCGGCCTGTTTAAGGGCAGATGGCGCTGCCTCGACTGCACTGGAGGGAGGTTATTGTCTACTCCTGAAAAGGTGTGCAAAATCGTGCTAGCATGTGCTGTGCTACATAATGTGGCACAGCTTCCAAACGTGCCTCGACCCCCCTGACGCCGATGTTGGCCCAGACCCTGTCCCTGATCCCCAATCATTGCCGCCAGTCTCTCATCAAGAGGGGACAGCTCCGGTGTCCCCTTTCCCCCATCCGGGGCAGACACACTTTGGTGATGGCGCTCTAAACTCTTTTTTTGCATCCACTTTGATGTCAGACCATTTTTTCTTTATTTCGGCCACGGTCCGAGGTTGTGAGGCTGCACCGTTGCTCTGCAACCTTTTGCCACTCAAGTGCCTTTTGGGCATTAGTAATGCCCATACTGTGCCCTCCAAAAAGCATTTTCCTTCTCCTTTCCACCTCGCCAATGATAATTTCGACTTCACACTGAGTGAAGTTACGTTTCTTCGTTTTCCTCTCAGTGTTTGCCATTATTTCGCAATCAATGAATATTAATTTGTGGGCGTTCCACAGACTATATATGGGCAACTTTGGGGCGTGACATGAAGCCGCAGAAGCTGCACTGCATTTAGAAGTGATTGTGATTTGTTAAGGGCAAACTGCGTAGGACGTGCGTGCGCACGGTTTTATAAGTCTGAATATTTCTGTGCGTACGCACGTCCTACGTTTCATCCGTATGCCACTTCTGCCGCAAATTCTACGCAAGATTTTATAAATGAGGCCCCAGGCCTCCCTCCACACTGTGGCCGCTCTTCTTCATGCCAGTCATCGTCTTCATCCCCTCCCATACTTCTCGCACACTGTTCTGTTGTAGCTTCCGTTCTACTTTCTTCATGTATTCCTCCCTTGCCTCCTTCAATTTGATTTTGAGCTCCCCCTGTACGTGCCTCAGCTTTGTCTGGTCCACTTCTTTGAAGGCCCTCTTTTTCCTATTGAGGAGGGCCTTGACATCGCTGGTTACCCATGGCTTGTTGTTAGGGAAGCAACGCAGTTTTGGTGGGAACAACAATATCATCGCATAAGTTCAAGCAGTGGGAGTAACAGTGTGCAAGCCCATCAACATCCTCACCAAATGATTGCTGAAATACACTCCAGTCTGTTGTGGCCAAGCAGTCTCTCAGGGCTTCATCTGCCTCGGTGGAGGGCTTTTTAACGGTGCGTGTCGTAATTGGTTCTCTCCGGACACGTGGAATGTATAGTGGTTGTAGGGAGACCACCATCTGATACAAAATTAGATTTTTCATTTTTTGTGCATTCTTCCATAGCCAGCAAAATTAGTTTCGGTAGCAAATTGACTTGGTTAGGTTTAAGATATATTGTTGGTTGGGTCAAAATCAATTATGTTTGTCAAGTAAAATAAGTGTGTAGGTTATGTAGAAAAAGGATGGTTTGCTTTCCAGAGGATACAAATGTGGAAAGGACTGTGTTTGCAAGACATTCATAGTTTTTTTGTCCAAATATTGAAAAGTGTTTGTAGTGGGTAAATTGTTCTGTCAAGAATGACAATGCTTAGGATTATTATTGTTTAACCTCTACTTTTATTAATGTTAATAAAAAAGGAATAACAAAGTTGAGGACGTATTTACTGTTGAGTAGTGTTCTGGAAAAAAAGACAGCTGCAAAACTGCAATACGGTGACAGCAGATATTACCCTAAAGACTGCATTTGATGAGTATGAGCTTCTGATGGGTGGAGAAAAAAGAATCGCTTTCATACTGTTAGCCCAGCGCTCTAGTAGTTAAAGGTTTTTCCACAGTAGCACCTGCATGAGGCCATGAAGATCTGGGAGACGTCCTTCAGGCTAGCTGGTAATCTCTTAATGAAAACTGGAATAGTGCAGTATATAGACACCCCTGAGAACTTAAGACACACTCTCATATATTTGGATAACTCTACATGTGAGGGCGTTGGTGAAATGTATCTCCGAAGGAACACCTGTGACTATAATTTTTGCAGTTACATCAGTCAACCTTAACCCACAAGACCTCCAAAGTAACGGCTCTTTAAAGCTTCTTTGGAAATGAGGGTCAAAACTAAAAATCAAAACTCTCCTTTACAAAGGCAAGAAGGCACAACTGCAAACACACACATACACACTCAGAACCTGCAAGCATAACCAGGAATGTGCAGATACAGACTAGACCCTGTGAGACCATGCACTCAAGAGTACAGATAAAATAAATATTTAAATAAAATGCACAGTCAGCACATGCATTGGGTTGTGTATGTTCATAAAAACATGAACAGACACAAACACGCACACACACACATTCGCAAAGTACATGCAGTGACAAAAATAGACCTGAGGACTAAATATCTTCCCAAGCAGATAGGCTTCAATCTGTGTTTCCCATGTATGTGTGTGAAACTAACAAAGTGATTCTGTGTGTGTGTGTGTGTGTGAATGTATAATTAACTGATATTCATATGAACTGCTCTAATAAAGTTGCTTATATTTCACAGAAATCTGAAGAAAGGATTTGAAACCAAATTGTCAAAACTAATATTCTGCGCTCACATGGAGTTGTCCACCAAAGCAATCCCTTCACTCGCAAACAGTTCCAATCAATCTTTCATCGCCTATTCTTTTACAGGCGAACTAGCGGTCATTTGGGCAATTTTCTGTGCTTGAATGTTTCGGTTTTGTTGCAGGGCACCAGGACTGCTGCAGATAGAGTCTTTCACGATGGTGGCTGTAAAGATGCTTAAGGAGGAGGCCTCGGATGACATGCAAAACGACTTCCAGCGTGAGGCAGCGCTAATGGCTCAGTTTGACCATCCGAACATTGTACGACTCCTAGGTTAGTGTCCGTGTACTCCATGTCTAAATAATTTGCTTTTGAAGGAGTTGCTCTTTTGGTATTCATCACTCATTTTGTGGAAACAAAACCCAGCATTTTTAGCTTACATCTTCAAATAGGGAAAAACAGGGACAAAAGTTTTCAGAGGCAGCTTTACACGTCCAGTCAGCGTGCTGAAGGATTCCCATAGAATACTGTACCATTTAGTGCTGCTTGACAACAAATGTGTATTTGTTGCCCCGAGGAAAACAAATGTCCTCTATCAAAGTGTATCTCCACTAATGCAGCCAATCTACCCAAAACAAACTGCTTGCATCCAGATGAACTCCCTGGAAGACACATATGTGTATGTTATAACTTTATACATAATTATATTTGGCACTGTCGGTGAGTAAACAGGGCCGTTAACCAATGGGGGAAGTTAGTTTGTTTACTTTGGTCCATTTTAAGGTTGTAAAATATGTGATTTCAGTATAATTTTGGTAAAGTGTCTGTTTTGGAGTGGCATTCATTCCGAATGTGTCATCCAGAGACAGTGATGCTGAAGTCGCCGATGTCTCTGGAATTATTTAGTCAACCCCCTGGACTAATACAGCGCAAATTGTGTGTAAAAATATCGAGGCATTATGCACAACATGCATGTTTCCATATTAGATACGTGCCACCATTTTGTTGCATGTGAGGCCCTTTGTGCCCCACATATTTAGAGATACAGCTACTGACCTTCAGCTGGTGTTGAACAACAGTTCGGTGTGTGCTCATGCACACATATGGATCAGTTCATTGTGATCTCCCACTCTGTGACCACCGGGACATGAACTCACTGAGCATGATGTCCTCCCGCGAAAGCTTCCATGCGAGCATGTTGTCGTTGCAGCTCTTGCGTGGACATGAAACATTCAAATACCAAATATGTGTGTATGCGCGTGTGTGTGATGCCTGTTGGACCTCTAAACTGAAATATTTTGGGAATTTTTTTTGACCCAACAACTTCTGGGTTCTGGGTGTGTGTGGAAGCTTCTTGATGTTTACACAAATATTACATGTTTTTGGGGCGGTACATGTCCTTTTATAGATGATTTTCCATACCGTTGCCTAAAATGAAGCTGGACAAATTTTCTATGTTTTGCTGGGGGTTTGAACAATGTTTGAGAGACTTTGAGATGACCGAGCTGTGTCGGCGAGGTTCCAAATTCAACAAGTCAGTTAAAGCACTAAATCTATATTATGGTTGTGGCAAAATAAAAATCTAAGGAAAGAGTAACTGAAACTACAGTCATGTTACAAGGTTTGTTATAATTTTTTTTGACAGAGCTATAAAGTACGAAGTACTAAAATCGGCGTCAGTGTCGTGAATGCAGAATCACCTCAAATGTCACATGTACAGCTTCTACAAGGCTGCCAGGCCTCTGCACAGTCTGTACAGTGTGTCTCTAAGCTCTAAGCATTGCACGTCAAAAGTCCTCCCAGGAATGCGTGAATAAACAAGCGGCCTCCCCCTTAGAGGCAAACTAAACAAGTTGAATAGAATGAATTCGCTGAGTGCAAGAAAGGTTTGTATGTCCACCATTACATTACATTTAGCTGACACGTTTATCCAAAGCAGCTTATATTGCATTAATAAGCCATGGCTTTTTACATTTTTGCACAGGGAGCAATTAGGGGTTAGGTGTCCTGCTCAGGGACACTTCGACATGGGGCAGCCAGGATTCAAACCACCAACCTTGTGGTCCCCAGCGCACCCACTCTACCTTTGCGCCACAACAACCCCACCATACTTGCTAGAAATTCATTTGATCATTGAATGATGTATGAAACCACGTCCCCTCCATATCAGGAATGAAAAAAGTTGTGGACTGCATTATAACAACAATAATGCATAATACCAAATACAGATACCTAAATGAAGTTCTGTACCTACAAGATGAGCAGCCACAATCCTACCTCCAACTTTAGACATAGTCTTAATACAAGGCCTGTTATGGTTTGTCTTCGACCCCAAGTGCACGACACCAGACGGAGTTTATGTTCAGCCAAAAACACGGCGTAGATTATTCTTTCACAAGAACTCAAGAGCATAAGGTTCCGAGGAACAAACAAAAACTGCCTCCTTAATTGGCAGGTGAAAACAAAAGAAAAACAACTCAAAATCCCTTAGTCCATGGGCACTCACAGTTCAACGAAAAAAGGAAAACTCACTCTTAAATAATCCAAAGGGAAAAGTCTCTCGTAGGTATCCACAGGGAAGTCTCCAAACGACGACCGATCTCTCCAGAAACAGGGCACGAACTCGCGACGAGCCATTGGGAGTCCTCCAATTTAACTCTCCATAGAATGAGCCAACGAGCTGCTGCGCAATGAGCAGAGTGGCTTCAGGTGTGATCCGGTGTGATCCGGTGCACGCCCGGCTCGTCCCCGCCGCAAGGCGCGTAACTCTCTGGCTGGCCGAGCCGTAACAAGGCCAATTCTCAGAAACACACTGTTCACATGAGATGTCTACTAAGTGTATCCTTTGGCGCATCCACGTACCAGTAGGCTGTGTTGATGCCTGGGCTGAACATTTATTTACCTTTTACAGGGAATTAACTCATTGTGGTGTACTGTAGAAGGAAAATTAAAAAAATTAATTAAATTAAACTAAACCTCCTGCTATGCTTTCCTCCCCCAGGGGTGTGCGCAGTGGGAAAACCCATGTGCCTGATGTTTGAGTACATGGCCCACGGCGACCTCAACGAGTTCCTGCGTCACCGGTCTCCCTCCCAGTCAGTGCGCACGCTCAGCCGCGGAAGCCTCTCCGGCCGCAGCTTCTCCTCCGAGCTGGAGGCAGGGCTTCTCTCCTGCACCGAGCAGCTGTCCGTCTCCAAGCAGATCGCGGCGGGGATGGCCTACCTGTCGGAGCGCAAGTTCGTGCACCGCGACCTCGCCACCCGGAACTGCCTGGTTGGGGAGGAAATGGTGGTGAAGATCGCCGACTTTGGCCTCTCCAGGAACATCTACTCGGCCGACTACTACAAAGCCAACGAGAACGATGCCATCCCCATCCGCTGGATGCCCCCAGAGTCCATCTTCTACAACCGCTACACCACAGAGTCGGATGTGTGGGCCTACGGCGTGGTGCTATGGGAGATCTTCTCCAATGGGATGCAGCCGTACTACGGCATGGGCCACGAGGAGGTAATTTACTATGTGCGGGACGGTCACATCCTTGCCTGCCCTGAGAACTGTCCTCTGGAGCTGTATAACCTGATGAGGCTTTGCTGGAGCACACACTCATCGGACAGGCCCAGCTTCAGCAGCATACATCGGATACTGGAGCGGATGCATCAGAGCACGCGGAGCATCAGCGGCGAGGCTGAGGTTGACTGCTGACCGGGGGGGAAATTAATGTCAACCCGTTGACTTATGAAGAGATTTGGTGACTGCAAACACTTTGAAAATGAACCCAAGAATTCTTCCAATAACCATCGTAGTCATTTTAGTCATTTTTGCTTGCCCAGACCAAAACCGGCAAAGAACATGTTTTCGCATCAAAGCATCTCTCATAGTTGAGGCATTTGCATTTCACTCTCTTCCTCAATTCCGGGTTCTTTTTTGAAGAAATTAACAATGAGGCCTGAACAACTAGCACATATTTTTCTCTCTGTACAGAGCTCAGAGCCTTATTCATTGAAGACTTAAAGCCACAAACCATACAATGATCCACATACACTCAAACATCCCGGTTCATCCATTGCATAAGGAAATGTTTTCTTCTTCCTTTTCATTTGTTACAAATGTTCTTATTTCCAAAGATTAGATGTAGAAAGACAATTATGCGCGATAGTGAAAACAACTTTGTTGTTGTTGTCTTTAGCAAACTTCCAAGTGGCACACAGTTACTATTTAGTAACTATTGCCCTTGATTTTTTATAGACAATTTGCTATTCCATTTTTGGGGCATTCACGTTTTACCGGTTTCTTTCTTTTATCATTTTGTCTTTTTTTGTTTGTGTGCTAATTTTACTTTGTTAGTCATAACAACTAGATTACACGAGAAGAAGTTATTAAATTATTTCTTCCAAACAGCTTCATCATCTAAATTAGTGTCACATTTAAGCGCAGGCACACACATTTGGTCTAATTAGAATTTGCAGAAACTCATTGACTAAATGTATTACTGTGCCTTAAGATAGACTATTTTGGCAAGGGATTGATGGGCAAAATGTCTTCGGCCTACAAAAATAACTTCATTCTGAAAGACCAGGCCAAGATTAAAGGCCATCTTTAATTGGCTCTTGCATAGACAGAAACTTTCAGCAAAGACAATACTGATCAAAACTTTTAACTGTGTATAAAACTGTGTTTTTTAACACTATTTCAGCATTACAACTATGTTTTATCAGTGCGTAGTCATGTTTTTTAGTTTCCCTTTGTTTTATCTATTAATGTCCAATGACAGAAAATGTTTATCTTGTCAACTGATGCCCAAAATGCCTTGTGTGTGTGTGTGTGTGTGTGTGTGTGTTACATAACATAATGATGCAGGTTTGTAAAGTATGACATTTCTTTTGTTTTGCTTGCAAATAAACATAATAATCGCAGACTTTGCCTTATATATCCAGGAAAAACAAATCACATTATTGACATTGTGTGATCATTTCTGAATCTTAATTCTTCTAAAATGCTGGACGGACGGATTCTCGTCGCTATGCTCAGCTGAAGCAATTCGCTAAGCCTCAGTGAAAATAAAAAGTTGGTGGTGGTCCCACCCAAGCTGCCGTGTCTAGTGTAAGAGAAACAGTGAAGGAGTGAAGGGGAGGAACAGTGATAAAATAAGTACAATTGAATAGAAACTTGCCACTGTTCCAGAAACCTCTTCCTCTGTTTATTTTACCATGAGCCTCCCCTGGCGCATGCTCCATTACAGACCCCAGACCCCCTTCCCCCCCCCCACACACACACACACATACTCACCACGAGGGGGGAGCTGAAGATTTGCCACGTGCTGCATGAGTCATTTTTACAGTGAATTATAATTGGGATAATAAGTGCTATTATCCCAATATACATGGCAGTGAATAAATTGAATCATTGGCCGAAAGCATGTCATATCCGATACGATAGGTGGCGCTGTTTTCATTACAACTAGTTGTGATACGGCCATTTCCGCTTGACCTCTTCACCACTACCAACAACAACCAACAACATCAACATTACGAGAAAGATGGCGAACGGAGAGCAAGGTGAAGCTACATCCCTCTACTATTTTTGCATGATGTTAATAGGAGTATAGCGAATGCGAATGGCGCTATAGGCTGATTTGATAACGGAGAGAAGACGCCGTCGGGATCTCAAGCATGCGCAAAGACGCAAAGTCCAGTTCCTTATCCAATTCACCGTTACATGCTGCAAAAGTCGAACTATCAACTGGATCGGATCGAGTTATCCAGGGGTGTTAGTCGGATCGTAGTCGGACCGCACATAGTCGGACAAAGGTGTTTACATGAAACGGATAATTCGATTTCAGTCCGACTAAGCCAGTTATTCGAATCCATGTAACCACGCTGAGTATGTTGATTCTCTATATGGTACACTATATGACTGCTGGTTTGAGGACCAAATCTGTTGTGACTGAAAACCAGAGTGTGCAGTGACACCTCTTAAACACAAAATGTGCCAATAAGTAACGAGGGCCTGTCCCACCACCGTGCTATGGGGCCTGTTGCAACTACCTTCACGCTTATGGGCTTCCGCTCCTTGCTCATTTTCTCCCACCCGCCTCCTCTGTCCCTTCTTTTGTCCCCTGCCTCTTGCCTTTTGTATCGGTCATTGCAGTCAGCTCCTTCTGCTCTCTGTTGCTATTTGAACAGACTCGCTAGCCTATGGGGCGCCATTTGTAAAATGTTGGACGTTCTAAAATCCTGCGCAGTTTTTCTACATTTAGCATTATCATATGAACAAAAAAGCATGACAATATTCATGTCACTTTTTCAAACATAAATTCATGCAATAACTTTTCCAAGGATAATGTTTGGCAGTAACAAAATATAATATAAATGTCAAATGTAAATGTGAATATTAAATATAAATGTTAAATGTTAAATCTAAATGTTAAATGTAAATCTAAATGTGAAATCGGGCGCGCGGTCAAATCCTCGACGATGGTCCGGTCAAGGGGGGGTGGGGGGGTGCTCAACCTGTGAACCCCCCCCTCCATGACAGTATGTGGCCCCCTACCTAAAATGAGTTTGACCCCCCTGCTCTATAACAAGAGCTAATTCATCCATCATGAATTATCGTAAATATTGTAATGTTCAGTCGTCAAGTCTGATATGTAGAGTGAAATTTAGCTCTACATTTAACATTTAGATTTAACATTTACATTTAACATTTACATTTACATTTAACATTCAACATTTAGATTTAACATATACATATACATTTAATATTTAGATATAACATTTAATATTTAGATTTAACATTTAGATTTACATTTACATTTAACATTTAGATTTACATTTGACATTCATATTATTTAACAACTTTGTGTTACTGCCAAACATTATCCTTGGAAAAGTTATTGCATGAATTTACATGAATTTCTCTCTAAATGTTTGAAAAAGTGACATATGAATATTGTCGTGCTTTTTTGTTCATATGATAATGCTAAATGTAGCAAAACTGCGCAGGATTTTAGAACGTGCGACATTTTACAAACGGCACCCCGCCCCATATGAGCCTTCCTCTCTGTGCTCACGGCCCCCTTTCGATTCACACGTCCATGATGAAAAAATCTTCCTGTTTTGTCATTTTAAGGGCCTTCTGGTTTTGAACATCTTTGCAGCTGAGACATTTCAAAGTGCTTCAGTAGAAGGTCGGCTGCGTTTTATGTGCCGATTCCTCTGAATGTTTCAATAGTTCCTGGACGTTCTGGCTCATCTGTTAACATCTTGTTGACTTTTCCAGTAAATGTCACTGGCTACTGATTCTGTCCATTGACATCATCAACCTTATCTGCCACAGACGCAGAAGGAGACACATTTGTCTGAAACCAAACTACGCCGGGAAAGTGTTCGTATTGACATTGTGATGAAGATGTGACAACCCCCACCCCAGTGACAGCACACCGGAACTTCCTGTGTGGCTGCGCTGGCTCCGATTGGCCCGTTTAGTGGAGCAACAGGAAGTGGGGAGACATATATCAGTCAGCTGGAGGCTTGCCCACCGAAGTTGTGGAACAATAAACACAGCAGAGTGCGTTTTACACACACAACACACATGCACTCACACACACATCCAGAACATTGTTCCCTAAAAAAATTTTTTTTGCTGCTGTTGCTGAGACTGCTGCTTCATTCACATCATTCTGGAACGAGCTATAAACACAACTGCCGTCAATTCCAGGACGCACCTGCTGACCCTAATGAGACGCACCATTAGACACTCACTTGATAAAACATATAAACCGCATTGGCAATACTACATTAACCACCACACACAAATAATCAAAACATGCAAACCATAAAAATTAATAATAAAATTGGAAGTAAAAGCATGCAGATACAAAAATCTAAAAATGACTGTATAATTAAAACAGTGATGTCTAACGGTTACACAAACACATGTCACACACTCACCCCTGCTAACAGTCAGGGCTGTGTGAGCAAGGTGTGAACAGCCTCGAGGTCTATGGATTATTAGGTCTAGCCCAAAATAAATCATTGCATGCATTATCAGTGTGTCTGTCTGGGACCCTGCGCGTTCCCCCGTTTACTGACCTTTGGGATGTCATAGAAACAAAAACATCAGCGGATAACAGACAGCAGCAATGATAGCAAGGCTAAACGCATAACATAAAGTACAACCTTTCAGAAACATTCTAATAATGTCATTTAAATACATTTCATTGTCGTAGGGATTTTAAGAAAAACAAATCAGAAAAATACACACCAACACAATGATTCAGACTTTTCTCATGTTTTTATTGTTGCTGCGATATGAACACTTAAAACCCAGGTGGACATTCATTGATATCGGCATGTACAGTATTGATAGTATAGAAACACATTTACGTCTGTTTCACTTTACAAACTACTGTTACACGGTTTGTTAAATCTGAGGTTTGGCAACAAATTAAACTTTAAAAGCAATGTTTCGCTTTGAAAGAACAGACTTTTAGACAATTACACACACAGCTTTTGGTATGAAAATGACAACATTTGTCAAGTGCAACACACACCGCAAACAGCAAACATTGGGCTTGCAACACAGACAGAAGTAGTCAGGAAACAATAGCAGGAATGTGCCAATCTAGTGTGATAAAACTGTTTTCAGGAAAGGACACGTGTGTTAAAGCTGGGAAAGGAACATGCATGTCGGGTGAGATAACAAAGAGTGACATGTGTCAAATCCCACAAGAGAATGTTTGCCCTGAAGAATGTGTTGCTCTTCAATTTAAAAAAAATGCTGCACTAAAAACAAAACCATCTGTATTCATAATGTGTTTCTAATTTACGTAATGTAAAATGATCTTTTGAGGCTGTGAAAATGAAAGTAAAAAAAAACGTTTTTAGCAACATATGCAAAAAAGGTAGGTTAAAACCAACGGAGGATCTTGTGTTTGTTCTCCAGCTTCCCACAGCGATGTTCAAACGTACTTTAGTGCACCGTGACGTGATGGGTACGACAAAGCACACTTCAAACACACTTTAAACCAGAGAGGCTGTTGAAACACTGCTTCTCAGCCTAGTTTTAAGGTACTCTTTCAGGATGAATGACTGGAAGGCACTGCACACGTACGTAACTAAGTAGTTCTGGGTTACAAACTAGTTAATAACCAGAATAGTTGATAGAAAAAGCACTGATTAGGCTCACAAGACAAGAAAGAGCGCCAAGAAAAATCCTACAGTACGTTTGGACACATTATAACACACTTAAATTTACCCAACACAAGAACACTTTCCTTTTGGTGGTTAACTTTGAATAATATATATTTATATACATACATACTGTACATGTATACTTACAACAGTGTATAAAATAATGACACACTGGTAATCAGAGGCATACGAAGACAGAAAGTTAAATTGGTTTACTATATTACCTGAAGCATTGCTTTGTTAGAAAAAGGGTTACAGTGAATAAGATATCATCATTCAACAGGAGTATCATCTTAAGAGTAAACTGGGACAGGTCATTGATGTCAGTGCCCCTTTAAAATAGCAAGACTACTAAAAATGCTTTATGGTGTGTTGTCGTAAAAAAGTCAATGAAGTAGTTACGATGAACTAAATTATGCCTGTCCCCGGGTTACGGATTAGTCCGATCTGTGTAACCGTGCGGTTGCAGAGTGTGGCGTTTGGAGGACCTACAGTTGTGTATCTAAGAGAACCTCTACTTAAGAAATAAAAATGAAAAAAAGATTAGTGTTGTTTTCCTTCACCTTAGTATAAGCTGTCAAAAAACCTCATCTTTAGGCTGCATTTTTTTCTACAGTAGCCCAGAGTGGTCAAGCCAATCTTTGGCTTTCGCATTTTCCACATTCATGTTCTCGGGTCGTCTACCATATTTCCCTTCAGATCTTGGTACAGCGGAGTTTCAGTCAGTTACATTCTGCAGGCTTAAAATCACACACAATGCACCTTCAAATGCAAAGCATCAAACACATGGAGTGTCCCTCTGTTCAAGACGCCATGAAGAGGGACAGCGAGGGGGCAGGGAGGCCAAAACAAGGTTGAAATAAGGATAGATAGACATGTAAACAAAACGTATATTACTTTGGATGGATATCCGTATTACCTTCTATCACTAATTACACTGTCGAAGCAACGAACAAAAAGAAATCATCAGTTTCTGGTTGTTAGAACGATATTTACATACTTTCCTTTGAGTGTTTTAACCCTAGGTGCTTTGGTATTCTATTGAATACTGAATACTTCCTGTTTTTTTCCAGCTAATATTTATTGCCGTCTAAACGGAACTGGTGCTTGTGGGTTTTCTTCCAACTATGGACAGAAATATTTGAATACAAAGGAATGATGGACCACTGAGCTGGATGCTTATTGGTCGAGCTAGCACTGAGGCTCCATCAATAGTTCTGCAGTTGGTCTGTGGGTCAGTCGAGCTCTTTGGTCCAGACTGAAATATAAATGTCATATGTAACTATTAGATGGACTGCTGTGACGTTCGCGGGCCAGTGTTTGCAGTCAAAGTTGAGTTGAGTTCTTTAGGGAGGCACCCATTTTATCTTCTTGTGCATGGTATATCTTGCCTTGCAATAAGTGACAATGTAATTGTCTCAGGGAAAGACTGCATAGAACCACGTGAGGCAGGCAAATCAGCACATTTCATGTGATGGTCCAAAGCCTGCTAACAGGCTTGACCTTCGCCTGGTCTCCAACATTGTGGCACAGAGTCAGTTCTGTGACAAGAAACATCCCCCCTTTTTTGTGAGATCCCTGGAACAACTTGTCTTTAAACTCTTAGATGGAACAAACAAGAGATCGTGGAAATCTTGTGTATTTAAGTTGGCCCAAGGGAAGTCTTATCAGTGGGAGATAAAGATCAGTAGAGTAATAAATTAAGGTCGTATGGTCACTTGTCACTGAAAGATGAATGAGGAATACGCAGAAATGAAAAACGGCAACAATCCATAACGCCCGTTTTTAGTAAGACACTAAACATGTCAAGCAAATTAGTAAGTTTGAAACCCAGGTAATGGATCCAAATACTACTGAGAAAAACATCTGACTTTTCTCAAAATTTGATGTCTTTCCTCCCAAACATAGAAAAGAAAAAGAAACAACAGCGTTGAAAAGAGTCCCTCGATGCATGTGGAGGGATACCCCCGTTGGTAGCGTGATGCTGTCTGCATGTAACAGGTCTGTAGGATGTAACGAGCTCTCTTAAGAATGGGGATCGTGGGGAATAAGTATGAAATGACAAGACACAAAGAAAAAACACTTGAGTACTGGCATTACCTTAATTTCACGGATTACTCTTAAATACTTCATATCAGCGCTGTCCGGGACAACACGCGCAAAACAATTAATAAACAACTAAGCAGAAATACTAACAGCCTATCAGAGTCCTTGAAGACACCATCTTCTTCCACGCTGCTTGTCATCAACCCACTAACCTAATCTTCCTTCTCCGAGTCATCACTGCGTCTTTAGTTCGTATCATATTGTGGTTAATCCCCACGATTCCCAGCCGTCCTTTTTATACCACCGAGTGTTCGTTATTGTGGTGGTGGCTGTGCGGGTGGCTGTGGTGGTAGGCGCCACTGCTCAGCACCGTGTGGTTGGTGGACGACGCCGACCGGTCAGACCCCTCCACCACCGTCCCATTGGTGTTCTCCTGCCGCTGGCAGCAGAGGATCTGCCTGAAGGTGGCGCTCATCTCCTTGTCGCGGTAGGAGTAGATGATGGGGTTCATGGCCGAGTTGAACTCGGCGAGGAGCAGGAAGAACTTCTCATAAGTGAGGACGTTGCAGTTGGCGCAGAAGACGTCGAGGAGGAGGATAACGAGGCCGGGCGTCCAGCAGACGATGAACGCACCTGAGGACACACAAAGCAGAGGGACAAAAGTGGAATTGTTCAGGAATAAACATTAAACACAGCTCTGTTGTGGAGGTGGTTTTCGTTACTTGAAATGAGTAAACAGGCAGCAATCTCCAGTTCTAAAGCCAATGCTGGTGTCTTAAACAGGCCATCAAGGGTAGACTGCCAAAATAAGTCTGAAATAAAGGTCTACGAGAAAAGGACTATTTCTTTCTTGATTTATTACCAGTAAACATTGTGAACATGAGCTTATGGTCTAAATCTCTCATTTAGAGTATTTTAAATATGGTCAACGGTGGGGCATGGGTAGAGAGGGTGCGCTGGGAACCGCAAGGTTGGTGGTTTGATGCTACAAAATGTATTATATACACGTATTATATCCCATTGTATTTGTTAATCATGTCACCCATGTGAGTTTTTTGGATTTGTTTTACTCGTGAGTCACTAGTACTAATGAGCGATCAATCATAGGTTCTTAACTATAATTCCTGGTTTCCTCTTCCTTCTCATGAGCCTGGGAAAAAATTTGGGCTGAATGTGCAGCTAATGCCAGAAAAATGTGATGCTGGCCTGACTTTATTTTACCAGGAGAACATGCATTGCATTTTACCGGATAAGTATATGTATTTTATGAATATGTATTTTCCGGTTTTGGTAATTCCTCAATTTTTCTGGATTCTTGTAGAACTCCAATTACTCTGAAAATGAGTTTTTAATGTAGATACTGAATGTGACAGTGATGACTGGCTTTGGCCTCTGTTTTACAATGAGAAATAATTAGTCTCGGCTACTTCAACCAAGTATTGATGACTTTGTCTTTTCAGTGTCATCTTGAAATGTACATCTTGTCATGGTAGACCTCCAGCCACCTCCACTGTTTACATAATATGGTCATGTGACATGCTGCATGTGAACCGGCCACACATGTCATTGTCGTTCCTCTCCCTCTACTGAACACCCAAAAAAGTGAAGAATCAAAAGGCCTCTGGGCTAAAAATGTTTACTTAACTGCAAACACTGACTGAATTTGACTTTGAAGTAGTTTTGTTGTACAGTATTTTGAATTACTTTGTTTGCACGGGTGAATTGGAGTACCGGCCAAAAGGCTGATTTGTAAATCGTAAATATGCTGAAATGCATGGTGACATTCAATACATATAGGCTGACTAGTTACCCACGAATGTGGAGTCTCGAGTATTTTGAATCCAGTCGACAGATGTTATTTGTCACAACTACAACACTACAGTATGGCATTACACTCTTGAGGCAAAAAACTCTTAATGAGCAATGGGTCGAGCAGAGACAGGGGTGGAGGAGGGGGAGAGGGGATTGGGGTCGCAGATGATATTGACAGCCGGGCCTGTTATCTGTTAGCGTATTGCAGGCAGCAGCTGCAGGGAAGGGTTGACCTCACTTCTCAGCTATGCAGGCGGACTCTTCAAAGTTTGACACATTTCTAAAGCTAAAGAGAAACTATCTGAGCTAGTTGTCTAGAAGGGAAACATCTTTCTGTTAAAAAAAAAGACCATTTCCTGTGTTTATCATCACTGCGTCATTTTAATTTAGTGCACATGGAAACACAACCATAATCACAACCTATTTTCATGCCTTAATTATTGCAGAAATAATTCTTCTAATTCGATATAACTTGTTGCTGCATTAACATTGTTGTTCTGTTTTAAATGTTTATTCCCAGGATGTTTGTCCTGATTCCCCACTCTACAGGGAGAGCGAAAACATTCTTTGTGTGAAGCAAATAGTGGAGAGGTTTCCCCCCCTGAATCCTTTCATTTCCTCTCTGGATCCAGGGTTATACGGTTGCTTCTGTCACACCCTTCCTCCAAAGACCCCCCCCCACCCCCCTTTACTTATGCACAAGCACAAAGCGTGCAAGGTTTTCCACAAAGCGCAGGGTTACCTCTGCTGAGGGCTGTTTTGTATACGTTAGGAACAGATAGATATTGGGCCCAAGGGAATCCGTTTGCCCCGTGAGTACCAGTGGAAAACTGCAACAACTATAGGTGTTACTATAGCAACGCTATCCTATGTGACATTTAGACTGATATAGCAACATCCTCTTTAGTATGTCAGTTACTTTCTTAGCTAAAAAGCTAAAATGATAGTAGGCGACCCCTCTCACCCCGGACAAAAACTGTTGTCCCTTCCATGGCAGAAGGCTGAGGTCCATCAGGACTAAGACCTCCCGCCACACGAACAGTTTCTTTCCGTCGGCAGTCAGGCTCATAAGAGAGCCTGATCCCCCACTGACTGACTCACTGACATTCTACCGGTCACTTTCTTTCACACTGCACACGGCACTTTCACTTGTTACTTTCTGTTCGCTGGTGGACTTTATTTTAATTTTTAAATATTTTTAACTTTAACTTTTATTTCTTTATTTTCAAATAAAGAAAGCACAACGGCAAATAGGAAAACACAACAACATTAACTTCTTACGGAAACGGTAGGGCCTTATAGCGGAGCACGGACCCTTCTGATTAGACAGACGGACTGTCTGTCTTTTCAACGTGATCTCCAAAACCTGTTCGTAAAAATGTATACGAAAATCTTGAACATACAAATTCGTAACAATACATATAAACTGCCGGTGGGTTAACCACGCCCCTTGAGTGAACAACATGGTGGACCATGTTGGATTCCTGAGTGAACGCCAGAGAGATGGCAATGTTTTGTCTTAAAAATGTCCTACTAGTGTCTCACCGTTGTTTTACCGTTGTTTTGTTGTTCAATTATATTAAGGTGTTGTAAGTAAAAGTAAATAAAAGGGGGGGGGGGGTGCCGCGGACGCTACGGTCAACATGGCTCGGGGACCGGAGTCCGATTCCTTGGCGTGAGGAATTGTTTGTATGGTGGGAGTGCGTGACAAGAGGCCGAAATGCGTGACCCTTGAGAGCCCTGTATCATTTCCTGTTAAAAGACAGACAGTCCATCTTTCCAATCAGAAGGGTCCGTCCTCTGCTATAAGGCCCTACCCTTTCCATAAGAAGTTAATGTCGTTGTGTTTTCCTATTTGCCGTTGTGATTTGCACTTCAGAGCCACCGTACCCATTGGACACATGTGGCTGATATTGATCGTTAGCACAGGTAATGCCCCGCCCCCCCCTAAACACGTTATAAGGCTAACTCTTGTCCCACGTGCATACACAAGAATTGGAATTTAAAAAGCCTGAAAAATGAAAGAGCACTCTGCATGCAGCATGTTGGCCAAACGGAAGCCCAACTCCAAAATCGCACCAATGTTTTAGTCGTTAACTACGATCAATAGTATTTCTTTCATATTCCAATCAGTATGATTACTCCAATTCATATAATGCTCCAAATCGAATATGGAATGTATGCGTTGTTGTTGCTTTACATTTCTATTTATTCAATTTTTAACTTACGTTTCATTATGTGGACGACCTTTACTTTACTTTACTGAGAAGAGCAAAAAAGGAAAAAAACATTGATGAATCCCAAAATTCATTTTCTGTATTGCTCCCTGCCTGAGGCCCTATATGACATCCGAAGGATCGTCTTCAGCCATACTTAATTTTAGCATCATCCCTAGCCTTTTCTCTTTTTTTACCTTCAGTAAAATAAAAATGGGTTCCATAAGAGACAGAGAACAAAGGGAACAAATATAAGGAAATAATGGAGATCAGACAACAGCAAAGAACTCCACAAACACGTGCGTAAAAGTGTGAGTACACACAGACAAACACACGCAGTAAGTCTCACTTACATAACTGGACAGAGCACTCTACATGAGCGGGAAACGTTTGGACGCTGTTGAGAAAGCACTCACTGATTGGAAGGTGAAATGAATTACAATAATATTGATATTTTTCTGGCCCTGCACACCACCTCCTCCTGCAGATCACGAGAGGTGGATCCTTTCCTCATACGACTGTGTGTTTGTTACGAGAAGCTTGGCTCTACGGGCCGACGTGTTGGATTTCTTGCGGGAATTGAGGTTTATGGCTCATTTAGTGCCGTCGTGAATTGCATGTAGCGTTGCATAATTCATTAATAATTATAAAGTCAAATGGCTTAAAGCAGGGGTCTCAAACTCAAATCAGCTGCAGGCCAGATGCAGCCCACTTCAACCGAACGCGGGCCACACTAGCGTCCGAACGGCATGGTCGACAATAACACAACTTAACACTCACCTTCAAAAGCAGTCATTGAACCCCACCCTGGGTCCGAATGAGACTACAACACTAGTCCTCCTTTAACTCAGCGGGGGAGACCTAAGGTCATGTGACCGTGGAATTCCTTTATAGCCAAACGTGAAGTTACGTGAATCGAAGCTGCGTAGTAATGGACGGAGACGCTCGTCGGTGACGTCAGATGCTTCATGTGTTGTTAGTGTGAGTCGTAAAGGAAAACTTTATTAAACGAGCGATGCTAACGGTTAGTCACATGATCACCTGCGCGAAAGAGGGCAGGAAACTGAATTTCACCCTCCTGCTCTCTGCACCTCGGCCGACACACACGACCCGCCCCCCATGTCAGTCACATGCATGCCACGTTCACTGGACAAGCACACAGTAGGAAACCAGAACATCATAACATGTCCCACACAGCAGCTGACAGTGGGGTTACAGTATAAAACTTGCGGGCCGCACTAACATTACACTTTCATATTAAGGATGGGGCCACAAAATATCGTCCCGAGGGCCGCAATTGGCCCGCGGGCCGCGAGTTTGAGACCCCTGGCTTAAAGGATTATGCTTGTGTTTGGTACTTAAACAAAAAGGACATGTTTTTGATTTACTGTTGTCATTAGTTTTAAAATGATCAAAACAAGACAGGCTTTGTTTGCCCAATGTGAACTCAGTATTGCTTAAATGTACTTTAAAACAAGTGACATTTTTTTAAATGAAGATATATTGGCAAAACCTTGTGTACGATCCTTTACAAGGGGTACGGAAAGTATGCAGATCCCTTTAAATTTCACTTTTATTGCAGCCATTTGCTAAAATCAAAAAAGT